TTCCGCATGTCACCAGCGTCCACCGCGCCAGTCTCGCTCGCGGGCGGTTTCCGCATGTCACGAGCGTCCACCGCGCCAGTCTCGCTCGCGGGAGTTTTCCGCATGTCACGGCGGGCGGTTTCCGCATGTCACGAGCGTCCACCGCGCCAGTCTCGCTCGCGGGCGGCTTCCCCATGTCACGAGCGTCCACCGCGCCAGTCTCGCTCGCGGGCGGTTTCCGCCTGTCACGAGCGTCCACCGCGCCAGTCTTGCTGTTTCCGCCTGTCACGAGCGTCCACCGCGCCAGTCTCGCTCGCGGGCGGTTTCCGCCTGTCACGAGCGTCCACCGCGCCAGTCTCGCTCGCGGGCGGTTTCCGCATGTCACGAGCGTCCACCGCGCCAGTCTTGCTCGCGGGCGGTTTCCGCATGTCACGAGCGTCCACCGCGCCAGTCTCGCTCGCGGGCGGTTTCCGCATGTCACGCGCCAGTCTCGCTCGCGGGCGGTTTCCGCATGTCACGAGCGCTCCACCGCGCCAGTCTCGCTCGCGAACGGTTTCCGAATGTCACGAGCGTCCACCGCGCCAGTCTCGCTCGCGGGCGGTTTCCGAATGTCACGAGCGTCCACCGCCACGAGCGTCCACCGCGCCAGTCTCGCTCGCGGGCGGTGTCCGCATGTCACGAGCGTCCACCGCACCAGTCTCGCTCGCGGGCGGTTTCCCCATGTCACGCGCGTGCACCACGCCAGTCTCGCTCGCGTGCGGTTTCCGCCTGTCACGAGCGTCCACCGCGCCAGTCTCGCTCGCGAACGGTTTCCGCATGTGACGAGCGTCCACCGCGCCAGTCTCGCTCGCGGGCGGTTTCCGCATGTCACGAGCGTCCACCGCGCCAGTCTCGCTCGCGGGCGGTTTCCGCATGTCACGAGCGTCCACCGCGCCAGTCTCGCTCGCGGGCGGTTTCCGCATGTCACGAGCGTCCACCGCGCCAGTCTCGCTCGCGGGCGGTTTCCGCATGTCACGAGCGTCCACCGCGCCAGTCTCGCTCGCGGGCGGTTTCCGCATGTCACGAGCGTCCACCGCGCCAGTCTGGCTCGCGGGCGGTTTCCGCATGTCACGAGCGTCCGTTTCGCTCGCGGGCGGTTTCCGAATGTCACGAGCGTCCACCGCGCCAGTCTCGCTTGCGGGCGGTTTCCAGCCAGCCTCGCGCGCCCAGTCTGCACCACACCGCCGTCCCCCCAACCAGCCAGTCTTGCTCGCGGGCGGTCCTGCACCACACCCCCTCCCCCCAGCCAGCCCCACACCGCCGTCCCAACAGCCAGCCTCGTACGCCCGGTCTGCACCCCCAGCCGGCATCGCACGCCCGGTCTGCAGCACAACGAAATGGAAATCCCTTCTTATCTCCGTCGTCACAGCTTGTATCGCTCCCAGGCACCTTAAGAGAAAACCTAAAGCAGAACCCAAGCATCAGAGATGCTTTTGGGAAAAAGAAACTAGAGGATGATTGGCCCGAAAGCATTTTTCTCCAGGTGCTCATCCAGCCGCGGAGACACCTTTTTACATCGCTGCGGCGAGCGTGTCTGCGCGCGGCGATGCTCAATGTGTATGGTCACATGAGAGCTCCATCTCATCGTCCTACGAGAGGAAACATGGCAGTGCTCGATCCCACATATTTACATCCGTTAAAACAAGAAAGAGTAAAGCCCGTAAAGCTCGAAACGAATTACAAGCAAAAGGAAAAGCAATCAAAAGCAAAGCTTACACGATGGCCACAGTTTCTGCAAAGCACGCTCGCGCAACTTAGCTCTGTGCAAGATGGCTCTGCGCAGCTTGGCTCTGTGAAAGTTGGCTCTACGCAAGCTACTTTTCGCGAGTGGCTGCGCGATTTCTCACGACTGCGCAAGCTGCATTGTTCCAGGCTGCTGCGCGCAAGTTGCTCTCTGCAAGCTGCTGCGCGCAAGTGCTCTGTGCAAGTTGCTCTGCGCAAGTGCTCTGCGCCAGTTGCTCCGCGCAAGCGCTTTGCGCATGTGCTCTCTGTGCAAGTTGGTCTGTGCAAGTTGCTCTGCGCAAGTGCTTTGTGCAAGTGCTGTGTGCAAGTTGCTCTGCGCAAGTTGCTCTGCGCAAGTGACTCTGCGCAAGTTGCTCTGCGCAAGTGCTGCCGGAGCTGTGGGAATGTACTTTGCGTAGTATTTTTGTACTTAAAAGTTGCGATTTTCCAGCCGGAGCTGCGGGAGTGTGCTCCGCGTACTACGTTTGTATTTAAAAGTTGCGATTTTCCAGCTGGAGCTGCGGGAGCACGCTCCGCATACTACGTCTGTACTTAAAAGTTGCGATTTTCCACCTGGAGCTGCAGGAGCACGCTCCGCGTACTACGTTTGTACTTAAAAGCTGCGATTGTCAAGCCGGAGCTGCCGCGGACCAGGGGGGAATCGAACCCGCGACCGCGGGATTGCGAAAGCAGGCGCGAGACATCTTCCAAAGGCCATTTCGCGAGCACGCAGGAGGGTTCGCCGAGACTAAGAAGAATTCGCACGGCGCCACAGCGAGAGCGCTTCGACACGCACGATCCCCGCAGAGGGTTCATCCGGGAACAGAAACGCAAAAAACCTCGAGTTTTTGCACCTCGACCACGCCGATCTCCGCAGAGGGTTGCGCGGGCGCAAAAAACCTCGAGTTTTTGCGCCTCGACCACGCCGATCTCCGCAGAGGGTCGCGCGGGGCACCGCCCAAAAAAAAAAAAAACGCAAAAAACACCTCGAGTTTTTGCGCCTCGACCACGCCGATCCCCGCAGAGGGTCGCATTCCCGATCGTCGGCAACATCCCCACCCCCCGCCTTAAAAGAGATTCTTAATACCGAGCTCTTTCTCTTTCTTTCCCGCGCGTTAAGTACTTGACCTAACTTACTTAACCTAGCTTACACAGCTGCTAACGCCGAGCCTCTACACCTAGCTTAGCTTAGCTCTATGCACCTAGCTCTATGCACTTGGCTATGCACCTGGCTCGATGCACTTCCCTCTTTGCACTTGGCTCTGTGCACTTAGCTCTGTGCACTTGGCTCCTTGCACCTTGCTCTTTGCACTTCGCTCTAGCACTTGGCTCTACGCGCTTGGCTCTTTGCACTTGTCTCTGCGCAAGTAACTCTATGCTGGTCACTCCATGCTGGTGACTCTTGACTCTGCGCAAGTATCTCCATGCTGGTATCTCCATGCTGGTGACTCTGTGCAAGTATCTCCATGCTGGTCTCTGTGCTAGTAACTCTGCGCGAGTATCTCCATGCTGGTATCTCCATGCTGGTGACTCTGTGCAAGCTACTCTGCGCAAGTTGACCAAGAGCTCCTGATATCTCCATGCTGGTGGCTCTGTGCAAGCTACTCTGCGCAAGTTGACCAAGAGCTCCGCACGGAAGAACCCTTCGCAAACTTGTTGGGATTTGGGCATGTGTGTGTGTGAGTTGGTAAAAAGCTGTCACGAAATGGTCTGGGTCAGCCCTGTATCTCATATACCTCATATGTCTCCCCAGATGGTCTTGCTCGGCTAGCCCCCTCTGTTTGTCTCCCCACTTGTATCTTCCCGCGCTTGCAGATGGTCTGGCTCGGCCAGTTCTTTATCAGCGCTTTGTCTCCTCACGCCCTTGCTGGGCTGGATGCTGTCACGTCACGGTCGAGCAACTCCGCTGGCCCCGGCGTGATGAAGCTGGGTTCTTTTTCCTTGCAGTGATGGGCTAGTTGAAAAGAAACCACATGGTTGTCAGTCAACGATTTTTGCGGACATATCGCTGAGCAGGGCACAAGTAAGATCAGGTTTGTTGAGTTGGGTGCTGAGAACAACTCCTGATACAATTGAGTGTGGCTCTCATTGTTTGCGGTTGGTGATGGTGTAATTCTTGGCCGCACCTTCGTGTGCCCCGCTTGTTTTCCGCTTGACGGTATTCCACGTAGCTGCGGCCACCCCGGCAGAGTTGCAGGCAACGCAACGCGCCGTGCAACAAAGATGGCTGATGCGCGTAGCGTCACGGTGGCATTAAGGCGTTTCTCGAAGGATCAGCATCGCGATGCCGCAAAAGCAAACAGCGCCAAGATCAGATGGTACGAGCAGCGTCACTGTGATGCAGGCGGCAACGAAGGCACCACATCGTCATGATGTCGCTTGTTGAAGTCTTGTGATGCAGCAAGCAACGCCATGGACATGATGCGTGTAAAACAGCATCGCAGGAGCACTGAGCATTGCAAAAGTTTCAGGATGCGACTGTTTTTGCCACAAGTAATGGAGACAGCCGTGGCTTTGCCCGACGTGATAGTTCGCCTATGGCCTATGTATTGGCCACGGGGGTGGTGGAGACAGCCGTGGCTTTCCCCGACGTGATGGTTCGCCTTTGTTTTTGCCACGGGGGTGGCGGAGACAGCCATGGCTTTGCAAGACATGATGGTTCGCCTCTGTGTTTGCCATGGGGGTGGCGGAGACAGCCTTGGCTTTGATGGTTCGCCTCTGCATTTGCCAGGCGACTGCGGCAAGTCAACGCAGACAGCATGATGATGCAAGACAGTGTCACAACAATGTCATCATCCCGAAAGCTGCATGCTCTGCCGCTTGATTAGATTGGGAACGGTGACAATTACGATACCCACGCAGGGGATTGGCAAGCACCGTTTGTCTATTCTGGCAGACGGCGCCAGCTTGCGGTTCGCCCTTTCTCAAGATGATCGCAATGAGTCAGAAGTGTATCAAAAATGAGTCAGATTGCATCTTAGTGCAACAAACTGCACGAGGATGATGGTCCTGCTGCCTGTCAGGAGTGTTGTGTTGCTGAGCATTTGAAGATGCCAGGTTGTCAGGCGTGAGCAATGCCAACCAAGTGGAGAATCCATAGCTGTTGCACGGCATGTTTTGCGCCACCGCAGTTGGCCCAAGGTCATGGCATGCTTTTGTTGACTATTCAGAAATCCGAATCGTTGAGCAAAAGAAACAATGCCTTGATAGCAGGTTTCAGGATGCCAGTTGTCGCGCCATATACTTGTTTGACAACCAGCGGCAGCCACCTGATTCACCAGCCTTTTCGCGCGATTGTGCACGAGCCATGGGTGCCTCGGGGAAACTGGCAGATCTGAATGTCAGCTTCCTACAGCAAGAGCTGGCCAATGCCAAGCGCCGCCAGGAGCAGACACAAGAGAGGCGGCAAGAGGCCATTTCTCAGTTCCAGCAGCACGAGGACACGTTCGAAACAGAACAGCGGCAGTGGACTGCCGCACAGATACAGCGCAAGGCCGAAAATGATGCGGCCATAATTTTGCAAAATTGGTGGCTGAGAGTGGGGATGCGTAGGACAACTCTCATTCCTTTCTTGGAAGTTCTGGAGCAGCATCGGCTCATGAAGGCTCGGCAAAGCCTTGCATATTCATTGCTCGACCTGCAGCACATGGTGCACGATCTTCACATTGAGGATTCTGATCGGGTATTGTCTTGTTTGCAAATTCAGCGCTGGTGGCGTCGTGTTCTGGCGCTCCGAGTGGGGAAGATCATTCACATTCATCACAAAGTGCGGAAGGTCAAGCGACACGTGGAGGAAGCCGCGGCCAAGGTTCAATCCTTATTCAGGGGGATCCAGGCGCGGCGGCGCGCCCAAGCCCTGCGAGAATCCAAGCAAGCAGCTGAAGCAGAGGCAGAAGTTCGGATGGAGCAAATGAAGATGCAAGCGATTCTTAGCATTCAGAACAGCTACAGGAAGAGCGTGGCAGTAAAGCAAGTGCAGAACCTCAGGGCGCGCATGTTCGCCGCGATGATGGCGCAAGGGCCTGATGATCATCGGAACAAGTCCAACTTGTCCAATTCTGCCCGGCCGCTGTGGTTCAAAGGCAAGGCCAAAGCAGAGCCTAAAGGCAAAAAGCGCTGAGCTCTTTTGGCGTTTCGAAAGGAGCTGCCTGAAACCGATTGGCGCTCCAAGTTCCTTTGCTTGTGGCCAGCAGCTTTGTTTCACCGTGTCACCCGTAGATTTGCTAGCATCAATAAAGGCTGCTGGCGAAAATGCGTGATGCGAGCACTGCGCTGGGGGTGAGCAAAGCATGGCTGAGCTCTGATTGTGTCCCAGTCCGTGCCCGCGCAGATTCATCACTCAAATGTAGATGCTCCTTCCATATTACAGGGTCGCGCGCACCTCATGCCCCTTGGCTGATCTTGGCTGCCTGCGCTGAGTGTCCATTCTGTTGATTCTTGCCTCCAGCTTGGCCGAGGCTTCCCTGTTCAAGGCTGGCTGTGTGTTTCTGGGCTCGCGACCTGAACAATTCCACTTGAGGATGTGGCCGGCTGTGTCAGTGCTGGTCACAGCCACCGGTCTATTGCGAAGAGAAGGAAATGCGCCGCTTCAGCTGCTTGGCTGTTGCTTCGACACGATGAACGCATCTGTGATTGCTGAGGGACACCATCCAGCCAAGCGGTTTGATCGACACTTGGCCAATGAAGCTTCGGACCTCACACAAATCAGGGTGTGACTTAGTCTGTTTTTGGCACAAAGCAGAGTAACACGTCAAGCTAGGCCATGGCCCTGAGGCGATGAACGCATCCCAAGTTGAGGGCTGGAATTTCTGCGCCAAGCAGTGGGAGGACACATGGCAGATTCGGCTGAAACCGCATTGTTTTGGTTGGCAGTGTGCTATCTACTTGCCCACCTTGGCCCAGGAGTGTACCTGCAATGGTCGGGTAAGGCGGCGCTTTAGCCGGCACTGCTCAGCATGGCCTCTGATTGAGTGTAGGAACGTGGCAGCGCGATTATTTTTTATGGCAGGATAGTTCAATTGTTTCTTAAACATGTGAAGTAACATGAGAAAGAAGGAACGGTTGGAGCATTTTTTGGTTCGACAACTGTGCTGGCCAGGTGGGGACATGGTGACACCTGGAAGGTGATAGATGCACCTGGAGATGGGTCTTTCCTTACCGTGAAGTTGCCTGGCGGTAACATCTTGTATTGCAATGCAGCATCAGTATATATTTCTATTTCGGGCTTTCCTTCCAAGTTCTTTCGATCGAGGTGCAGCATAGATCACCTCAAGGATATTTTGCCAGGTGATGACCGAAAACATTGCCAGCGGCTGGGCTTGTTCAGAACCAATGCTGTGCTTGGCCATTGGCAATTCCCAGATGCCGCTGAGGTGCCAGGGAAAGGTAATGAGCAAGAATTTACGCAGGCCATTCGTGTGTTGAATTTAGTTGTGGCCACGCTGCTGCGTTGCGCTGACGCATTGCAGTCCCGGCTTGCCGGCGTCGCTGAGCATCTCAGAGGGCAATGTGCAGCCTCATGGCTGAAAGTTGGGTGCTTCTTTTCAGACTTAGGCCTGGCATGCTTTGCAAAAGTGTGAGCGGCCGAGGATTGAAGAGAAGAATGCGGAGTGGGTGTTTTGCTCCAATCAATGGCAGGATTGCCAATGCAACAACCATGTGCGGAACCTTTGCTGCAACATGTGAGGCTGTTTGAGCAGGCTTAGTGGCAAGCTGCCCAGACCTTGGTGCTCAGGTGGGGCAAGGGACACAAGTGGAAGGTGATAAGCCCGGACAAACTTGGTGCGCTTTTCTCCGTGAAGCAACTGAGATGCACTTGTTCTGTATGTTGAGATGGCATGGCAGGATGGCACGTGAGGGCTGGGGCAAAAGGTGGATTTGGAGCAAGAAACGGAAATGGCGCATGAGGTGTGACGTGAACACGCTTGGCGACCCTGTGCCGGGGGAGGATGGGAAGCACTGCCAATGCCTGGTGTCACGTGGCAGACGCTTGGATTGCACTGCCTGTGACAGTCGTGTTCGCTGCGAAGTCTCCAAACGTGGCACTGGCCCATGCTGTTTCTTGAACGCTTGTTCTGCCTGCAACGCTGAGGCCTTTTCGAGAAGCAACTGAACCCGTCCAAGCCCCAAACGATGCAACGTAATCAGCGCACAGCATGTCCTGGCACATTCTACAGCTGGCCTGCGTCATTGGCCTCAAAGTGGCCCTCCCTGCGTTCGGCCCCCCGAGGATGCTGCTTCGACAGGAAATTGCAGAAGCAAGTGGTGCTCGTATGGTTTCCTCTTGTGAAATCTTCGAGGCCAGCGTTGGTTGCCAGAAGCTTCCGTTGCCCTTAGCTTGAGCCTGCGCAGGCCGGCAAAGGCAGCCGTGAGGCCAGGCGACCGGACGACAAGACCAGTGGTTTTGCAGCCTGCGCAGCTTGCGCCCTGCCAGGGCCAAGTGCTGTGGGAGGCGGTGGAGCCTTTCTGCTCGCAGGCCTGGGAGGACGCCAGGGGGTTTTGCACTTGGATCCATTGGGCGGAGGGATGCATTCGTTTTTTTGAGCGATGGGAGGATGCTGCTGCAGCTGATCCATCCCTCCACGCCGGTCCTCGGAGAATCCCTTTGAGTAGCTTATCTGACTTCTTTTTTTTTTGCAATTTGCTTCGTTGAGCGTCGTGCAGCTTGTTGATGTTGTTTTTCTCGATTTTAAGGCTCGCTCCAAAAACTCCTGCAGTCGCGGGTGGACCCGCGATTCGTGGGCAACTATGACAAACTGGTTGGCAAGGACTGGTCGTTTCCTCTGCCGGTGAAGCCTGCCAGCCCGAAGCCGTGAAGAAGATCACCAAGCTGCGCGGGCTAGTGATTGTACGATGCTGGAAGTGCCACCGGGCTGTTGCTTGTTCCTTCTCCGCAGGGCCGGGGGTGCAGGATGGCTGGTTTGATCGGGCCTTCGTCAACTATTTTGCGGGTGCTCCCGGGAGCCGCCTGGCAACACTTCAGCAATTCATGCACCTCACGCTGGTTTCCCGAGGCAAGCACGCAAACATGACGGAGCAGCTGATTCGCCACACCCTGAGTGCAGAAGACCGGCATGGGCTTTGCTTTTTTCTAGCAGGTTGCGGCGGATATCGTCATGTTTGAACTTGCCAGTTTTGTGCTGTGTGGGTGTACAGGTGGGTGTCTTGGATCCCAGGCTCTGTGCACATGTTTTCTGCGCAACCCATCGTGGTGGTGCACCTGGGCAGCCGCACCCCGGACTCCTGGACTGCCGAGCGCTTCCCTCGCTTGCACCGGGCTCAAAGGGGCGTTTGCTGCATTGGGTAAAACGAGCTTTGGCGGACGTGAAGGATTGCTGCTTCATGGGCAGTTTTGTGGTCAGTGTGTGTGTGTTTTACCTGGAGGTCCAATTTATACAGAAATCTGTATACCAATCCGTTTACATAATTGCGCGTCAGGGTGCTGTGAGTTCTGACTGTTCGCACATGCTGGCGCTTTTATTTATCAAGAGGGACGGCCAAAGTGTGGGCTATACCCAGCAAGTTAGCGGCACGAGGGCGTTGCGGGCAGGCTGCTGTTCCACGCTGCCCCGATGGGTCCCGACACCCACCGCAGCTTCAACTTCAACAAGCTGCGCTCTTTCCTGATGGCGCGGGCGCGCACGGGCGTGGAGCTGGACTCCGACCAATTCGTGGGGCCAGGGGTGGACTACATGTGCCCAAGCTGCAGCCAAAGGCTTGCGCTGGAGCGAGGCGTGTCAGCCCTGAGGTTTGAGATGACGGAGAAGGAGAGTGGATGAAAGAATTCTGAACTCGTGAGTCACTTGTGAGGTCGAAGTGGTCCTTGCCAGGAGATCACCAAGGAATCTCCACTGCCAGTATTGCCTGTCCATTTCTACAGCTTCACAGAGGCGCCCGGTGTGCACAGCGTCCACGCGTCTGCACAGATGCGGTGTGTGCCAGGCAGACACGCCTCAGAACTTGTGGTGGCGTCGCTACTGCCCAGATCCGCCCGTGGGACCCTCAGTCAGTCGAGTGATCCGAGGCTTTGTGACAGTCAGAGGGACATGGTTACATTGCAGACGATACCCTGTGATACACATTCCCGGCTGAGGCCTGCACAGCTCACACCATGCGCTGGAGCCATGCGCATCCCACCTGGTGCCCTAGCAAAGAGTGCCGCCAAGTTGCAGATGAGTGTGCCGCATGCCAAGGACATTTTGGTCGCTTCCCTTTGTGGGTCGCTGGCTGCGTCGTCACTTCAGAGATGAGCAATCCCGGCACGGACACAGTTGCCCTGAGATCAGCCGATCTTGTCATCCTTTGGCACTTCTTTGGTTGTGAGGGTTTTCTGCCCGAGCGGCAGATCTTGGCCAGGCATTTGCCACAAATGGTGTCCTCGAAGGCCGTCTTGCTTGCTGACCTTGCCGTGGCCGAGATCCCAGAAGATGAGGACTTGCTGAACGTGGGCACGTGGGAAGCAGCTTGGCAGCCTTGCTGTCCGAGTCCAACCTCATCAGTTGCATCTTGTGCGTGCCCCATCCTACAAACCAAGGAGAAGGGGCCACCCAGAAGCATACGTGTCTGTTGGTGGTGCCACGGTGCCAGTGTGCCGCAGTGCTCAGGACGAAGCAATGGTGCAAGTTCGACAATGATTACCATGAGTTTGCTGACATGCTCAGCTGGCAGCCGGAGTGCTTCGGCTCAGGATGCTTAGGAGTCCATTCGGCATTTGCTGTAGGTGCTTTGTGCATCGGCATGGCTTCTGGTCAGGAACGGGGATCACACAACCACGGGAGACATTGCCAGTGACCCAAAGTTCTACCCACAGGGAGCAGCCAAGGCAGGAGAGCTTGTGACATGTCCGGAGTGAGTCCTTGCCTTGACGTTCAGGCCTTTTTCACTGCCCACAATTGCAAGGATCCTGCTGCAACTGACTCTCGGACTCGCTAGCAAAGCTGGCGTTTGCTGACCTTTCAAAGCAGTGCTGGGCAGGAAACGCTTGAGCCTTGCATGCCGCACAGCGAAACAGGGCTTGGATTCTCATGGGACTTTGGCGCGCGAGACCCGAGGCGAAGATGCTGGACGATTCCTGGCAGAGAGGTGAAACAAAGCACACGCGACCAATTCGGTTTCTCCAGGCCGGCACTCCGGGTCGTTCTGAGGAGATCGAGGAGCGCTGGAAGAAAGGCCTCTACCCAACATCCACCATCACCTACAAGGGCCGCTTCTTCGAGTCGGGACGTGCCCTCCGCGAGGCACGCTTTCTGCAAAAGTGGGCAGCTTGGGAGTTTGGGCGACGTTTATCCATCGGTGCTGGGCCGCATTGAAATCATTCTGCATGTAGTGATGATGACCCTTTCAGAATCTGAAGGTGATGCGGCAAGGATGACGCTACCTTGTTTCATGTATCAATCAACCAGCTAGCATGGTACACGCAACTGGGTGACTCTTCTTGGCTGACCACGTCCCAGGCAACCTGATTTTTTTCTTTCGCTGTTGCTGTGTTGCCCCCAGGCACATCCAGAGTTGCCATGTATCTTGTGAGCACTTCCTGCCATACAACGGCGCCTTGGCTTCGGCTTTGTTTTAGATTTGGAGTTGTAGGAGGCGCTTGGCCTCCCAGTTGGGCACGCATGCCACGCCCAGGTGTGGCCGAAACAAACGCCTGAGTGGCGCCGTCACATGTTGGCAAAAACATGTCGCGCATCGAGCTTGCCATCACGGAGATGTCAGCATCAAATTACCGTCATTTACTTTATGTCGGAGTGTTTCATGCACATGTTGTTGTTTTTCCTTTTTCTCGGACACGACGGGACGTCCAACAAAACGATAGCCCAAAACCTGAGAAGAGCCATCAAAACCGATCTGGGACGTCCTAGCCTCGGAATGAATACACCCCAAACAGGTAATTTTGACGCCGACGCTGACTCAGATCATAGCTGTTTTGCACTCCCACACTCGATGGCCGTGGCTGTTTTCAAGGTCACCAGGCACAGCAGCTAGCATGTGAAGACGTTTGGCTGTCGGTCAGCAAGCAGAAATCCGCATGCAGTTGCCGAAGGGATTGGCAAGCATCCACCCCAAAAAAAAAAACAAAGCAGCGGGCGCCTACTCTGCAAGCGCCATGCCGGATTCAGGCAGCTTGGCGGTCTCCAATACACATGTTGATAAAAGATAGAAGTGTTTATTGACAATCTCTTTATTTATACTTGTCCTTTCAACAAACTCTGCTTGGCTTACGCCATTGGCATTTTCTGTGCGCCCAGGAAATGGCCCTGCCCTCATGCTGATCGGGGCCGTTGGCCTGGTCTGTGTCGCCGTTGCTGCCCTGGGGCGGAAGGTCAAGAAGGAACGGGAGATGGCCACTTGGGCCGCATGGTGTGTCAATGATCTTGATATTTCTTGGTGTCGTGCCACCAGGCAGCTGCCTTTTGCGACCCTTTCAATGGAAGTCCGAGTAGTGAGGTCACCCTCCAGGCGGAAAGGGCCGCAGAGCGGGAGCGCCGGCGTCAAGAGGAGATGGGCCAGGGTGCCAAAGGCTCTGGCAGGGGGAGGCGAAGATGATCTTCACGAACGCGCAGCCGGCGCTGGGTGCCTTAGATCAGCTGAACTGGGCTCAAGCTGGGCGTCCCACCTCTGACTGCAAGCTTTATCCAGGAAAAGCACACCGCGCTTGCCAAACGCCTGTAAGTGCCTGCGGAGCGTGGCGGTTTTTGGCAGTTTTTGCAGTATGGCTCAAGGACAGCCAGTGACCTGAAAGTCCTGGGACAGCATCGAATAGTTCCCGCAGCCAGCAGAGCAACACACGACCTCATGCCTGCAAATGAAGTGTTGCGTTTGTCTGCACTGTTTTGTTTCGCCAAGCTCCGATCTAGGATGAACTTTGTCAATACGTGCGAGACCAGGGTTTTTTGTGCGTTCAGAGGGAAACGAAGCAATCGTGGACAGCAAAAGAGGGGGCTTCGCGCCTTGCATGCGACCGGATGCCATCTCCCGGTCCCGCCCGGCGCCACTCCGCAGCCCGCCCTTCGCGGGGCGCTCCCAGGCCACGCGCGACGGCTTGTGCGCCTTTGATCTCAAGAGCCCCAGGAGTTGCGCTGGCCTGGCAGGCGCCGATGTTTTGCAAGTGACCCGAAAACCCTGCAGCCATCACCTTGCCAGGCCGTGGGTTTTTGCATCGGTGGGCTTTTGTAAGTGGTGTTGTCATTGGTACGCTCCCTAAGACGGACTTGCAGGTTGCCGGGGCCAGGTGCAAGCTGGAATCGGCGGTGCCTGGCCAGGTACCGAGATGTTCCATTTTGGCCCAAAAGGGCCACACTTTGGCTTCGGGTTCAGCATGAGGTGTTCCAAGCAGATGTGTGTTTTTTGTTCTGCAAGTCCGGCGCTGGGTAGCTGGCTCCAGGTCGCCTGCTGTGCAGGCGCTTGGCGCTGGCTATCAGCCGCTCTGCGGTGGGTTCTGGCGCCCTGGCAGGAGGGGTGGCGTTGGGCAATTGCTGACGTGCTCGAAAAGAGTTCTCAAATCGGGAGAAATCAAAGAAGGCATTGACATCCCGCCTTTGAAGCCCCTTGCTTTGTCGCACAACTTGTGCAGCTTGTGTTTCTCCACTTCCGTCCCCTGTATGTTTTCGTCAGGCGGTCATCACCAGGCCCTTGATGCAGAACATGCAGAACATGGTGGTTGTGATTGCAGGCGATGTTTTTTTGTGCCTTCCTGTACTTTGGATCGCTTTGGAGCTTTAGAACAAGCCGAGGGCCGACGGCAGTGGGGAAGTCGGACACAGCAGTGGCGCTTGCGGCGCAACTCCAGAAGAACGGGCGCAAGGTGTGGGTTGGCGACTACGCATGGATGCCTCGCATCGCTTCCCAAGCTGGCTGGGAGGTGCGTCTTATCAGCGCAGACTCCGTGCAGGTCTACAAAGGCCAGGCGCTCAGTAAGGCGGATTCTATTGTCCAGAGTCATTGTTTGCACTTGGTTTTTAGTTCCCCCTTTGGAGAGAGCGGAGCGCTTGAACTGGCGTTGTGCAGCCTCTGGGATCATCGCGCTAGGACTCGACATTGGCTCCAACAAGCCTTCATCGTCCGAGCAGGCGTCGCTTGTTGGAACGCACTGTTGAACTGTTGCGGTGAAGGGGTTTTCCTTCAGATACCTGCGCTGACACCACCTATATAGCTGTGCAGGAGCAGTGGCCGATTCAGCTCGTTGAGTCTTGCTTGCAATGTGGTTTGGGGCGGAAAGAGGTAATGGTTGCTGACGAGCTGAAGCGTGCACAATGCGCTGACCTTTTGGCTGGTTGTGTGCATTCAGCATGTGCCAATTCTGAAAGCCTTATTGGTGGCAGTCGGGTGTGAGTTGATAAGCTGCGCTGAGCTAGGACTGGCTGGAGCCAGATAGGCCCGGTGCATCCCGTGGCATGCCCTGGCCTTCAAAATCTGCGCACGAGGCCCTGCACTGCGGGCAGCTGGACCCAGGCTGCACTCAGCAGCTTTGATCGGAAACATCAGGGCTTGGGGGTGGATAGCGGGCCTCGTGTCTATCAGGCAACGCGCCTGACACTGCCCAGGCTACTTGTAGCATACGAGGTCAAAGGCCTTTTGAGTTCGCTAGTTGGCATCATGCCATAAGCAGCTTCAGCGTGGGTGAATGATTCCCTGACAGGGAAGCGTCAGTTGGGACCAATGCAACCAGAAATTGCGCTTCTGAGGGGGGGACGGGGCTTGGGGGGAAACATGTGATTTGCCAAGGCCAGGTGGACGAAGCCTTGGGCCTGAATGAGACCCCCATCGTCGTGGGTGGCAGTGCCAGCATTAAATGAACACGCTGGTCAGTCGGCATGTTGTGCGTTGCCCATGGCATGTCTGGAATGCATTAGACCGTAGCCATTCGCGTCCAAGGCGGATCCTGCAACGCGCTTGCATTGAACAAGTTGTGTGTTTTCTGGTTTCAGCATGTTGGCTTGAGGCATGTATCTTGATTGGCTCGTCAACGGTGAACCAGACGCGGCCAAATCCGTGTTGGGCTTGGTGTTCAAGATGCTTGCAGGCTTTGGCCAGGTTTCCGACATTGCGTCTTAAGGATCCTGATGTCCAAGCGCGCATTGCGGAAGAACTCCGGCCTTTCCAGGCACCCTGTGTCTCGAGGCAAACTGGAAATGCACAGTCGCGCAGGAAAGAATGGACTGGGATGGTGCTATCGCCATCCTTGCCACGGTCGACGCGGGCAAGGCCAGCAAGCAATGAATCCGTGAACGCGCATGAAAGCTGTCATAGGCGCAGAGAATAAATCGAAATAATTGGTATGCCTCTCAGTCTGGCCTCGCTTGCCGGACCTCCCTTTTGCGCTCATGCGGATGGGATGTGTTTGCACACGGGCCTTCTGAGGCGACATTTGTCGCGGCAGCTGGAGGCGCGCCAGGGCCACGTCCAAAGATCGCAAAGCGACCGCTTTGCACAGGTGGTTCGGAGTGCTCCGCGGCGAGCGGGGCGAGCCTCTAGAACCAGCTCCTCGTGCATTGCTTGTGACAGGGTATGGCTTTTTGGAAGCTTGACTTGTGGGGTGCGATTGTGTCAGCCAGTGCGAAACTGCCAAGGCTACGACCTGCGGGCCTTTTTCCTCAGCCCAATTGATCGGCAAGCGCTCTTCCATCGAATAGACCCTTGGCTTTTGGCACAATTGTCAGGGGTTTGTTTGTCAGAGCGCTCATGTGTACATTTGGCAGAGATGCATCCAAGGACAGGCCGACGTCACTTTGTAGCTTCTGTCGTTTTGTAAGCATCTGCAATGTGTCATAAGGATTTCTACCCAAGGGGGTGCCATCCGAATGAAGAATGGCAGTGCTTGCCAATTTGGTATTTGATACAGACATCAGCCTGACTAGTGGAACTGCAGTTATGTCGCTGGCTGTCGTTGCAGGCGCTGCAAAGCAATGCTGCATAAGGGGCTGCTGGAAGAGGTTGTGCAGTTCTCAGCACACGGCTGTCTTGGGCTTCAGACAAGTGGCTGGAGTTGTCAGGCAGCACTCTTGGAGCAAGGCGGGTGGAACTTTCGGGCTTCTGTGCTGGCTGGGCACATGTTCAAAGCTGACCTGAGCTGAGCTTTTGGCTAAAGGAAGGGACTGGCTGGCACTTAACGGCAGCAACTTTACGGCGGAACCATTCGGGGCATTTGCTGGATTGAGATGTTTTCACTTGGAGCATTTGTTTGAGATGTTTTTGCAGGTCATGTACCATGAGACACTTCCACAGCAAAAGTGTGGAATGGGATCCGACTGGAGGCCTGCAGCTGGACACGCCTGCAGCCGATGCCATCGGCCCTTTTCTCAGAATGCGGCCACCTTTTCCAATATGCTGGCTGCAGCTGTTTGCCTGAGGTTATCGGCAGGTCCTTGACTACCTCACCAGGCTGGTTTTCAGGTGAAGAGGGCAGGCTTTGGCAACGGCATGCTTTTGGCAATGGAGAGGGCCTACCTCACGGCCCAATCAACCGCACAGGAAAGGAAGACTGCCTACCCAAATCCCGTTGCAATCCTGCAACGTTGCGAAGGCCGAACCCGCTGGATGGAGATGCTGAAAGCTTCCTCACTTTTCTGCAGAGGCGAGGCGCCCACTTGAATGCCAAACTTGCCAGCTCAGTCGCTGCTGGCCAGGTTTGCTGCTGTTTCCAGGCCGCTTCATCACACTGAAATGCAGCAATGGATAAGTTGCAGACAACACAGCGTCCGGCAGGAACTATGCCAAGTCGCAAGTGCCGCTTGGTTTGACCATGGCGTCTTCCTTCCTGGGAGTTGTCAGCAATGACTGCGCTGCATGACAACTACGAGTTGATATGCTGCCCATCCCAGGCAGTGGTTCATGAAGGACAAGCTTGAGACAGCTGGTTCGGCGATAAACAAGTTGAGAAAACGTGCAGATTGTGGCATGAGGACTCCTCCTTCATGTGGCTGGACGCCAACCCCACCAACCCAGAAGCACTTGGAGTCCGGGGCTTGGGCCGCATCCTTTCAAAAATCCGTAGCCACTGCCTGAGGCAGAGCTGAGTCACCTGTGCAGCCTCCGCAAGGCTAAGTTCCTGTCACAGGCTGGAATTGATTTCTTTCAAGGCTCCGGATTGGGAGCCTTGACAGCCTTGGAGAGCCTTGGTACACCTTGGAAAGCCCTGAACTTCCAACACCTTGAAAGTGTCGCAAGTCGGCAGTCGAATCTTTTAAGTTTTCGACTCTGGAAGTGCGAGGTGCGAAAGGACACTGCGGTCCGTGAGACACAGGCTGGGTGCGGCGTGCTAGGCCATGCCTTCAGCCCGTCGGAGGCCACGCAGGCAGCTTCCATGGGGAACTTCGCTTGCGCCCTCGGAGATTTGCCGAAAGAGGAGATCGAGAAGATCGAGAAGATCGAGAAGATCGAGAAGATCGAGAAGATGAGACCGTCAAGTCGACCCAAATCGACCGCTGCCGGTGTCAGCCGAAGTGCGGAGTGGGCAGTCAATCTCAGGAGCTCCACCAGCTTCTCGAGCGAGCAGACCGCTGCACACACCGAGTGGGGGGCCCAAGTGCTTAAGGGTCAGGCACTAAAAAGCACTCAACACATGAGCCCCGGAACCCCAAACCCGCAAACCCGCAAAACCGCAAGGTGTTGAGGAAGCTTGATTCACCAGCCAAACACGGAGTCAACAGAAAGAGAGAAAGAGGATCCAAAGCGAGTACAGCAGACAGCGCAGCTGAAGCCTGGCCAAGGTCCCCCCGCCAGCCCGCCAGCAGCTGCCTGCGTTGCCGGGGTGGTCAGTCGGACAGGCCCGGGCCCCTGAGATGCCAAGTAGCTACTGCGCAGCTGCCAAGGTGCGGATGGGAAAGGCCTGGGGAATGGCGCGAGAGGAGGTTTGCCAGCTCAAATGTGAACAGGTGTATTGGCACGGCAGGCACCAAAAGCAGGGACCTCGGTAGATGCGCAGTTTGGACAGGTTGGCGTGAGGCTTGCAAGCTCTTCCATAGGCTTTTGTCCAGGATGTGCTCTTTCTCCACACCTTTTCATCATTTGCCCCCCTCACGCTTTTTTAATCACGCAGTAGCTGATTTAACACAATCCTGTTCAATGTGATGAAGGCTACGCCGTATACCCATGCACACCGGCCCTTGATGAACTTGAGGCGAATGTGACCAGACTTCTTGTTCCAAGGTCACTGACCCGATTCAATGTTGAACACTGCGACAGATACGGCCACTCGGGCCAAGTCTGCAAGCCATGTCACAACCATTTGAGGGTGACTCTTTGTACCAACTTTCCCCGACGTCAGCTGCAAGATACCTTGAGTCAGAGGAACCCCTAAAACAGATCATTTCCTTGCAAGAGGCTTTGTGAAGCCTTCGGAGTCACAAATGCGCACAGAAGCCAACTCCTTTGGTTCAATGCCCACAATTTTAACTGATGCCGTAGCCACCTCCCAGGACACTTTGCCCCAGAATTCAACCCTTGGGTCATACTCTTCGACAATCATGCCATGGTACAAAATTCCATTTTTGACAGCCTGCTCCCCCAGGAGGCTACTAATTACCAGAGAGAGAACCGCAGGTTTGCAGGGCACAGTGGCCTTCGCAGATGCTTATCACCTCCTCCTGTGTCACACCGCTTGGCAGCACCACGCTGCAGCTCCATTCGTTTGGTCTGCTCCGCAGTTCAAGTGCGCAGAGTTGGCGCCTGAATACTCTCTCTCCTTTGGAGGCGGCTCCACCTTCTCTCATGGAACAGGTCTGATTGATCAAAGCTTGTAAAGGCTGGCAGCACAAGAACCAGACTGTTTTTTCTGTGTGCACTGTGACTTTTCGTGGGGCACCAAAAGATTGAGGTGGGGCTGGGGCAATCCGCTGGGCAAGCTCCATCGACAAGGCCTACAGCTTTTGTCCACCAATGGGTGGCAGGACCGGGCGGATGGAGATGCGGTGAGTGAGGCCGCCAGGGATGAACATGTCGCGCAGGCCATCAAGGAGAGCGATGCTAGCACGCTCCCAGCATTTTGCTGGCCAACCCGTGGCTTGGCAAAGTGTGGGGCGTGTGGATGTGGCAATGCTGCATGGAACGCGGTTTTGAGGCCAAAGCAGCTTTCCAGCCCATGCTGCCACGGATGAGCTGCCCCTGATCCGCCCGTTTCCACAGGCAACAGTGCGGAAAAGTCGTTGCAAGCAATGGGTGTGAGGGTGAGGGAAAGACATTCATTCCTGCGATGTAGGAATTCACACGGAAGTTGGACAACAAAGCTGCCCGGCATTATTGTTGTCAGAAAAGAGTTGTCATCCTACGCCTGCATTGGTTTTTGAAACTGAGGCGAGCCTGGCTGCTCACTTGACAGCAGCCGGCTGTGACATTCACCCGATGACCTGGGATGCGCAAGAGTTTCTTCGGGCACCCCCCGAGGAAGGCCCTGAAGGCCCTGAAGAGACTTTTTTCCTCAAGCATAGCCTCGGAGTTAAGGGCAACGCCGTGCACGTGTTCGATCGGACTGCTTTGGATGCTCGGCTTGCTGAGCTGGGTCTGCGCTGCGAATCCTTCATTGTGCAGCGCTGTGTTGCGCCTCTGTCACTTCGGAACGGTCGCAAGTGGGTGATGCGTGCGCATGCCCTGTTGCATGCTATGAATGGGACAGTCCGCCTTTATAGTCACCGAGATGTGATATCGTTGGAGTATGGACAGCCGTACACCTCGCGGCTTGACTTGCGCGCCGCCCACGTGAGCAACAGCGCCAAGCTGAAGCACCTGCCAAAGCCGGAGCTGGTGAAGGATGAGTTGGTCCTTCAGCAGGTGCAGCAGCTGACGCGGCAAGCCTTCGCCTCTGTCGCGGAGTGGATTCCCCTTGGACCCTATGCGCCTGAAGAGGCCGAGCTGTGCCAGGTCTTTGGCCTGGATATCATCCTTGATGCACACGGAAAGGCCTGGCTCTTGGAAGTCAACGACTACCCGGCCATTGCCTCGGGGACCATGGAGCATGTGGACACGAAAGTCTACACTGATTTGGTTCGGGATGTGCTGTTGCTCGTGGTCCTCCCCAAGGTTGACAGCACAACACCTTCCCCGGGTGGATGGCAGCTCATCGAATTGGACGAAGGGACTGCGAGCAAGAGGGCAAAGAGAAGAATGCGGGCGTGCGCGGCCGTCACCGTTTGAGTCACGTGATTTAAGGTGGGTTGCATCCCTGAAGAGAGGCTCAAGCATATAGGCTGGAGCTTCAACTTTCCTTTGTCCTGTGCCTTTGGCGGTTTTCACAACTAGAGAATGGTGCGCGTGGGGTCCTTAGCGCATTTCTCATCCCCCATTTGCTTGAAATCTGCCCCCCTTCTGCAGGCCATGTTTCGGAAGCTGGTCAGTCTCCTTTGTTTGGCCCTGGGCTCATTCTACAGCGACACGTGGAGATGCTATAGCTGCGCACTGCGCATAGCATGCGAAGGCATATTTGGCCGCTGCCGAGCAGCTCCCTCTTAGAGCGGACGACGAATGCAACTCTGCCCAGCGAAACACCTAGTCCTCCAGGCAAGTGCAAGAAGAGCATGAATATTCTGGGCAGCACCAAGGTGTGCGGTGAGCGCACTGCAGGTCAGAGTCGAAGCAAGGCCAGTCCCGTTTTGCTGGGGGTCTGGGAGAAATGCCAGCGATGCAGGCTGAGCGGATTGCGAGCGGACCCTGAAGCACCGGATTCAGCGCGGAGCCTTTTGCCTGGGGTGAGAACAGGCCCTGAGATCCTGAGAGCAAAGGGGCAACCCTCGAGGTCGACGTGCCCTCTGGGCAAAGTGTGGAGTCTCCAAGAGACGAGCCCCCAGAGGAAGCTGAGGCTGAGCCCCAAACGGCCGAGACCCAAGTGTCCCCAGTCGAGGCAAGATGGGCCGAAAGGGCACCGAGACGGTGGTTCGGAGTTTAGATTGACAAATTCAACGTCGCAGAAATCAAGACAGGATTGATTTGCATTGATGGGAGCTTTGCACAGGTTTGGGGGAGCACGCGAGTTGAGTTGAGAAGGGACCCCGCTATACTGACCTTGCTTCCGGAAAAAGAAGTTCAATATGTTTGCGAAGACTTTGGCAAGCTGGTAAAGTTTAAAGAGACCTTGTTCAATCAAGGCCGAGCTGGCGGCGTCATTATGCCATGAGGACCCACCACTTTTTACAATCTCATAGCAAAGGGTTATTGCGGCATGTGGCTTGATTCGTTTGTTTGACTTGCAATTCTCAGCAAGCCGGCAAGGTGAAGGGTAGCTACTTAGGTGCAGCTTGAGCTTGGGACTCTGGCAGGGTGAAGTGGCCGAGCACCCGAACAAGACAAACATCACCGCGGACAACAGCGCGGACAGTGCAAGCGAGGCGCTTTGGGCTTGCGGATGAGTGCGAGCGATCATGGGGTTGACTACCCAGGGCCCTGTGCTTGCAACAATTGAGTGAGTGAGTGAGCGAAGGTCGTTGCGCTAGGTGGGCAGCGTAGCGACACTGCCTAAGGCGCCATTGCTCCGGCCTGTCAGGAGGCTCCACAAACGTCATCGCCTCCTCCACTTGGAGCAAGCTGGCTAGGCTCCTGAGGCTCAGAGACCCGAGTAAGTGTGGCGAAGCCCCACTGCCCAGTCAGGCCAGCCACCCGCGCCAGCTGCGAACTGCGGCTGGCATAAGCGCAAGACAGCATGACATCCTCGAACGGCATCCCTTACTCGCAGGCTCTTCCCACCGTGGCCCCTCACGGTAGCACTGGGCCACAGCTGGGCCTCGTCCTAGGCAAAGGCAAAAGAGGGCTCACGCGTGTGCAGCGCGGGCAGCGAGACAAAACCAACGCAGCAAAATGCCGCGCGACATTGACGCAGCCGTGCTGGCAACAGTTGCCTCTGGAAAATGAGTTGTGTAGGGTGTTGGCAAGGTGGACAGGGCCATGGCAGCATCGAATGGCTGGCGCTCCCCAAAATGGTTTTGAGTGTTTTCTTGTCGCGCTGAGCCCGCGATTTTATGCTCGCCGCTCCCACGCAGCGCACCTACGTGGCAGAAAGCCCAGCCAAACATTTGACACAAGTGCGCGAAGAGTCGCGTTGAGAAGCTGCCGTGACTCCAATATGCCCTCTTCAAACATCACCAGAAAATCTCAATTAACCCATAAGCTGGGGCTCAAGGATTCTCCTGATGGGCTCATGGCGCACCAAGTCTTAACACGGCTGTGGCTCAAAAAACCGGTGCCAAAATGGGTTGCCCTGGTAAGCAAAACCTGCGTAACCCCTGCTGTTTACTTTTGAGCCACGCCCACATTAACAACCCCAATGTCATAACTTAGCATAACTTAGCATAACTGTTTGAGATTAACAAGGGACCCCTTGGCGTTTAAGGGGAAGCCCAGAGGAATTCAACCATTTAGGGGATCGTTGGCGGATCATTTTTTACATGGCAACGTTTAAACGTCATCCCTCCCCAAGGAAACTCGGTTGGGCCCGGCTAGTGCTGACCACTGGTTACTATCGATTCGTTTGTTTGACTTGCAGTTCGCAGCGCGCTGGCAAGGTGAAGGGTACCTTCTACATTTTATGCTGAGATTTGGCAGGGTGGACGCCTCCGCTGGGGTAGGCTTGTGTGTAATTAGAAGTTTTCATTTCCAGTGGCTAGCAGCTCGTGACTGTTTGAGCATGGACGATGCAAAGATGTGTAGCGTGCTGCAGCCTGTTTAGATTTATCGTGGTTCGGAGAACGGTGCTGGCTTGGGGCAGGCCGAAGTAGCCGACAAGCCGAACCAGACAAATATCACCGCGAACACCAGCGCGGACGGTGCAAGCGAGGCGCTTTGGGCGGGCTTGCGGATGCGGGCAGTTTTCAGACCCCGCACTTGAGACAGCGGCCCTGGTCAAGGGTTACAAGAGCTGCCGCAGTACTGGAATGCATTTGTCGCTGTCGCAATCCTGACTTTTTCATGCGGGAGTTTGTGAAGCGAGATAGTCCAGCCTACAGGTAGGCGTCGGCGGGAGCTTGTTTCTGCCTGCCTTGCCTTGCCTGGTGTCCCGGACAGCGTCGGGCCAATCTCGTAACTTGGCCCGACGTCTCGACGCCTCCGCTGGGGAAGGCTTGTGTGTAATTATGAATTTTCACCTTGAAAGGGCAACGAGCCTTGGCATTACCAGTGGCTAGCAGTTCGTGACTTGCTGCAGCCTGTTTAGATTTATTGTGGGTTTGGAGAACAGTGCTGGCTTGGGGCAGGCCGAAGTAGCCGACAAGCCGAACCAGACGAACATCACCGCGAACACCAGCGCGACCAGTGTAAAAAAGGAGGTCTGGAGTTGCGGATGGAAGATGTTGGCCATCATGCAGTTGACTATTCATGGCCCTTTGCTTGCAACAATTGCTTCTGGAAACAGAATTGTGGGACCACTTTGGTCTTCAAAGGGATTGGCAAGGTGGACAGGACCATGAGAGGTGTGCCAAAGCTGTTTTCGGTGGATTTCTGTGGGATGAGCGAGTAGTTTACTGCAGGCCCAGCCAATAACCCGACAAGCACAGTTTGCACAGGAGTGCGGACCACCCTTTGCAGACCCATATGCCCAATGTGGTGGCCGCTTGCCGTAAACCAGCGCTTCTGCACACGCGGCAGTGCAAGTTTTGAGTTCAGGTGATGGCTGGAAAGGGCCGACTTGCTGCGCAGAGAAACGTATTTGCTTTGAGGCATTCTCTCATCCATCTAGCAAGTTGTGTTGGCTCCATGGGCGCAGGTCAACAAATACTACTTTCACTGCATGACCAAGGAGGAGATTTGGGCATTGCCCAGAGTATCCCATGCGTGGGAGACTTTTACTTGCCCTTAGGAGGTGATCCGAGACAATACCACCACCACGCGGCTAGTCGCAGAGCGAGTGCGGGCTCATGTGGCCTCTGCTGGCATCGGGTCATTCGGGCCTTGTCCGTTCCGGGAGCCAAGGACCACGACAACCACAAACGCAGATCCACAGCCTCTGCCCAAGAACTCCCTTTGCAATCTTGAATGTCGCAAATTTCTCAGCTCAACGCCAAGGCACTGTCAGCTCGGCTACAGCCAATGCGGGGGGATGACTAACCGAGCCTTGGATGCGTCAGGGTGTGCACTGCCTTGAGGGTTCAAAAATGGCCTTGGGTGATGCGCTGATTACGTGCTTGTCGTTTGTGTGGCTGCAGATCAGGCGGGGAGGCCTTTGTCGGCAATTCCTGTTGCCATGGCGGTTTCTTCTGCCAAAAGGCCTGTGCCTGTGCCTGTGATGCCGTGCGAAACGAGTGATCCCCTGCTGCGCCGCGGTGCAGATTGACGAGAACTTCCAGCAGTGCGCTCCGCCAAAGAAAGGCGGACCCCATTTCGTGCACCTGGGCTGCAAGAGCTAGGGGAGGCAGTTGAGTAGCAGTGCCATGGTCACGATCCTAGATACAAGCCCTCCGCGGAGCTAACGCAGCTTGGCACGCAGCCAACTTGACCTGATCACCTCATCACCTGAATCAGCCAGCAGTTTCGTTCCAAGGAAGCCGAGCGAGGCACCGGCGTTCACCTTCTATGTGTATCGTGCAGAATCTGCAAACGATGCGGCTTTGGCCGCGTTGCGTGACGTTGGATGGTTGGGTGTCCCTGGAATTATGCGAGAAGTCCGGTCTTGCTACGAATCGTCCATCATTTATTAAATTATTCCCCGGGCATGAGCCACCTCTCCGAAGATCCAAGGACTACATCACCAATGTGAATGTTGCAAGCTTACGCGCAGTGCCACGATTTTAGTAAAGCGCCACAGGGCCACTCTCACCTGCGAGGTGGCGAATTTGCCCGGCGTCATGTGGTACCTTCACAATGAGGCGCAACATGGCCCCTGCATTCTCCTGGGCTGGCTGGCCTGTGAGTAGGTTGTGTGGATGACGCCAAGGAAGTTCAATATCTCCAGGTGCGAGTGGAGTTGCACATGCAAAACGGCACATGGTTCGATCCGAGGATCTTCCGCTATAAGATCACCACCAAGGCCACGCAGCCCTTGTATGAGTTGGGGATGAACTTTGGTGCTCCGCGGCTACACTAGAGTTTCCTTGTATGCGTGACCATGGGCAAGAAGTCTGGCTTCTGATTTCAGTTGACTTGTGCCCTCCCGCGCATCTCAGATCCGTTATGCCTATGATGCTGCGCAGTGCACTGGACCCTGGAACTGTGACCAGAACTATGAGAGGCCTGCGTGTTTGCACTCTGTGGCACTATGCGCCTGCCTCTGAGCCACCTTGGGGCTCAGCTCGCAGCCATGGGCAGGTATGGCTATTTTGTTGGCTGTAACAACCTGGGGGAGTTCCCCTTCCCTACTTACCAAATCTACTATGATGACGCCAAGCACGGTGCTCAGCCATCCAGGATTCTGGACAGGCAGCAATCACCCAATGGGCCGAGGTGGTTCACTCTTCCCGGCCCGTGCTCCTCGAACACTTACAAGGACTTGGCCGGCATTTCGGCCATAAGGGATGACATGGATAACATGCACCAAACCGCAGGAGAAGGACGCAAAGTGCATCGAGGATCAGCCTGGTGGACACTGCGTCCCAGACTCGGTGCAGTTCGAGGCGGATGGGCACTCCTTGCCTCAGCCCTCGAAGGTTGGACCCCCCACAGGGGCTGGCGACTGCACGTACAACCTGGAACCAGCTGGAGTTGCGTGCCTGCATTTCCCAGTGTTGGCCGAAGCTTTCTGCATCCATGGCATCCGGAAAATCACATTTCGGGTGTTTCCTGAATGGGCCAGCTTGCCAGCTTGCCCACCAAGGAACTTTCACTCAGCGAGATGGAGGGCATCACGGATTATGCTGCCTTTGTGAAGGAGGGGTGCCTTGATAGCAAGGAGAGGCCTCGGCCGGCTTATGATTTTACGGGTTTCAGCTTCGGTGACTAATGTGGCTCCTTTCGTCCACATCCGACCAAACTTCGATAACAGTCTTTGTTCCGCACTCTTCAATACAGAGTCGAATTTTGAGGTAGGTAGTCTCCCCCTCGCACCACTAGAAAGCATTACGCAAGCACGGCGCCCTGACAAATGTAGCCGCATTTTCTCTTTTCTCGAGCTTGTTGGGTTTTGCTCCCCCCTCCCAAGGAAGCAGGAGTTCAACAAGACCAACGATACTGGGGTTGGCCTGTCCTTCTGGCAGCTCGGCTCACGCATTTGGGTGCACGCAGCTGGCAGCCCCGACAACTCAGGGATGGGCTCAATGATTCCGACGCTAACGCGGAGAGGGTGGCCCATGTGCTTCAGCCGCAGTCAGTTCGCTGCCCCTCCCCTCATTCCTGGCTCACGACGAGATGTGCCAGCTGGCAAGCCATCCCCCAGGTCACAAAGCTCTTCAAGCAGAAGTATCCGGACTTGCCTAGCAGCTTGCCTCAATGTGCATGTTGAGGGGACCAGGGGGGAGGGGAGGTGGTTGGCAAATGGCAAATATTAGAAACTATCTCGAATCCTGTCTTACATCATGTTGTGCTGCAATGTCGTTGAGAGTGCCCATCCTCAACAATGCACCGGTGGCATCGTGTGCTTGAAGCATGCTAGGCGAAATGAAGGCGCCAACGTGCGACTTCCGATTTGATGAGCTGCATGGCTATTATAGCCGGAGGAGCAGTTTTCGGTATCAAGAGGAAAGAACCACCCCATTGTATGTGTCGTTGTAAAGGATGATCACAATATATATATATATATACCCCCCCCCCTCCCCCCCCCAACCCCCCCCCCCCCCCGCTGTGGGGGTGGGGTGGGTGGTGGGGTGGTGGGGTGGTGGGGTGGTGGGGTGGTGGGGTGGTGGGGGTGGTGGGGTGGTGGGGTGGTTGGGTGGTTGGGGTGTGGTTCGGAGTTGGTTTGGGCTTGGTGGGTTGGTTTAGGGTTGGTTCAGGGTTGGTTCAGGGTTGGTTTGCGGTGGGTTTCGGGTGGTTGAAAGGGGGAGTCTGGGACCGAAGCTGCAGGGCTCACACGGTACTGGACAGCATCCCCAGCATTGCCAGCATCATCCCCAAGATGCGGATGATGCGGGGGAGTGGGGGGACCATACCATTGGGGGGGGGGGTACGTGGCCCAGGGACTGGTACATATATATATATATATATATATATAGTTTTGACCCCATCAAATTCGCTTGCTTGGCATTTGCAAAATCAGGAGTGTGCTTGCAAGACCAGCCGCGCAAGTCAAACATGGGCTGGCACAAGGAAGGCGCAAGTCTAGCGCAAGTCCGGCGCAAGCCCGGCGCAAGCTGCGCTACAAGACAGTTGAGTCGAGACAATTCGCTTTGACTGTTTCATCCACTCGCCGGATGTCTTGGAACCGCTGTTCCGTCACAAGTCACGCTTGTACAAGTCCAAAGCCAAATCGCGCAGCCTCAAAGATGAGCTTGCCTTTTGGTGTTTTTGCGCCGCGTGCCCTGGTAGGCGCGCATGTGGGCAGACTCGCTGAAATGCGTTGGGTTTGGGGCAGCAGCCTGATGAAGACCGCCGTTGGGTACGGCAATGGACACATACGTGGCATGTGTTGAGCTCGCCCAAAGCCATGGGGTCGCGCGCGCCGAGAGCCAGCCCGTTCCCCCTTTGTGTTGGGCACTCTCTAGCGTCTGCGCCTGCGCCGGGTCCGTTCGAGGATCAGATCTCCTTGACAGTGCGGAAAATTGCTAGCCTAGCTTTGCGTTGCGATTTCATCCCTGGGTTTTGAGCCTAGGCTACTTTCTCTTACTGGCAAGTCATTCGGCCCTACAGCCTTCGCAACCAGTTGAATGGACACTCAGGTTTTACACCGGCACGACCACAACCACCACAACACGCAGCACAACAACGACAACAACGACCACCACAACTACCACGACCGCGGCGCCAGCACAGGCCGCATGTCAAGAGCCTCGGCTTTGTGAGGGGCCGCACTTAATCACCACCAAAACAGCCGTATCCCCTTTTGCCAGCCAAGGATGCAGCACCAGGTGACAAATGCTTCAGTGCTGTGAATTGGGCCAAGAAAGATGGTTGCTTGGTGAGCATTTGGAGGTGAACCTTGTGCATTGGTCTAGTGCGGCGGGGTCTTGAGGAATTCACGTGCACCCGAATTGGTATCCTGGCCTCTCAGCGGCTTCCTCCTTCAGCGACTTTCAGGTTGGGAGGCTGTTGGGAGACTGGAGGACAATGGCTATCATTTGCAGGCTCAGGTGCATCGAGCCGAATGCCCAGGGAGAAAGCAGCATGAGACATGATGAATGATTTTTGCCACGCACAGGGACAACAGCCAAGGCCTCGCCCGACGTGTGCCCCTTGCCGCCGTGCAGCAACGGCCCGGCCTCTCCGGCGACAGCTCCAGAGCCCGCTCCGGCAACTCCAAGACCAGCAGGGTGCATCGCAGCTCAGCGCTGTGAGATGGGGAAATGTTTTGTTGTTTTTGGTTTGGAGTGTCCGCACAGTCGCAAGACTCCCAGGATGCATCGCTTGGCACTTCGTGCTACTCAGCAGTGAGATGGGCGATGCAGCATGGTGCCTGGGAGGCGCTTGGTATGTGATTCCTCCTCCGGAGAGGCATGTACGTATAGACTGTATAGATTTTGTTTCAAGAGGAAGCTGTCCTCACCGAGGCATTCGTGAGCATCCAGACTGGTACCCTGGGCTGACTGCCAGCTCAACCTTCGCTGACTTCCAGGCTCTTTCGTACCTGTAGACAGCATCATGAACATGACGACATCATGACACCCTTGAAGCCCTGAGGCTCAAGTTCACAAGGCTGGCTCCCTCGGCTGTCGGTCCTTTCGGCTTGCTTTCGCGTCGAGGCGACTCCGGGAAAGTGCCCTGTGCCATGCAGCAGAAGCCAGTGAAGCTGAAGGGCCAATTCGGTCGGCACAACCGCCGTTTGCGACATTTGATTCGCGTTGTTACCGGAAGGGGGCACCGCCGGAGGCGGCCCTGGCAAGTTAGTGCCCACCCAGCTGCGAAAGCTCGGCGGAACCCGAGTATTTCTGAAGCAAAGGTTTGACAGCACGCTCATACTGCTACGCTGCAGCCTTGGTGGCTTCAGAAAATGACAAACTGCATGAAGTGGGGCAGTTGCACGCTTTCTGGAGCTTCTGCTCACAAGATGCAAAAGATTTGCCTGCAAACAAACGCAGCCAGCAGACATGAACTGCAATAAGGGGAGGATTTGTCTCCCCTCGGGCGATTTGCATGCACGCTCATGGAGCCGAATCCGGCAAGGCGGTTTAGGTCCGGGCACAGCTACGTGGCGGAGATCTGCACATGGCGTATCCTGCTGCTTTTCTTGGTCTCTGCAGGCTGCAGCCTGCTGGTGGGATTCCGCGCGGAGCGGGATCCGGAGCTGCAAAAGCTCTTCGAGGTTTGCGAGGGCCGAAGGCGCTGCCACTCAAATCCCTGGCAAGCCCTGCTGGTGGGGAATGTTCTTCTGGTGGCGACAGCCATGATGATGAACGGGTACCGCAGCTACTACGTCTTTCTGGCCGCCGTGACCTTTTTTGGGGTCACAGGGGTTATTTCAACGCAGCAGGCGTTAGCTGGCTTCTCCAGCCCTGGCAACATTGCCTTCCAGGCTGTTCTGGTTCTGGTGGGCGGCATTAGGGACTCGGGTGTGCTTGACCACATGTTCTCCCGCCTTCTTGGACCTCCCTCGAGGCAGGGTGCAGGCTGAGACGGCAAGTCTGTAGCCTCGCTCTCGAGGTTTGGAAGTTCCGGCGTTTGCCCTGCAACTTTTCGGTCTGCCTGGTACCTGTGAGCTTAGTTTTTGTGAACTGCTGGACCTGCCTATCCTATCAACCTCTGGGTCAGTGTAAAGGCAACGCAGTTGCATTTTTCGCACACCCGTTTTACTTGTCCCGCCTTGACAGAATTTGAAGAACACCCGCTGAAAGCCCGCACCTGAACCATATCTAGGGCTGGGTGCTCGTCGAGGAGGGAGACTGGGGCGGGGCTGGGACTTCCTTGGCTCGGAACTTTGCCTCCAGAGAGACGTTAGGATCCGGCCGGATCCTCTCGAACAGTGGAAGGCTACCCGGCCACCTGACCCTTGCAGTTAGGGGCCGAAACATTTGATTTCGGCCTGGAGCTTGGATAAAAGCCGGCCACGCTGTCGAACAGCTGGTCCTCTATGCTTCCCTGGGTAGCACATGACGCCAAGAATCTAGGGCGATCAAACTTAATGCTAGGTTCCTGCCCTGAGCACCAAGGCCTTTAACTTTGATGCCTTTTCCACACTTCAATCCAATCCTTTTGCCCGAGCTGTCTGGTTTTGGTCTTTTCCATTTTTTTCCCTGGAGGCAGGCCAAGGCCTTCCTGCGTGTGCAGCTAGTGACTGCATTCTTGGGCGCCTTCGTTCAGCAGACGATGGTGGTAGTGGCGGCGGCCCCGGCGCTGCAGCGCTGGGCGCCCCAAGCTAAGGTGAGCACCCGAGAGCTTCTGCTGCCCATCACCCATGTGGCAGCTATGGCGCAGACACCCGGTGAAATTTGTTCCTGTTCTTTCAGTCCTTCAGCACGCACCTGCACACGACCATCACTCGCTGAGCAGGCCGGTGTGCAGTGCTGCGCGGGATCATTTGGGTTTGCTTGGCAGGCGTGTGTGCGGCGCTTCGAAACGCACAATGATCGGGTGGTGTATATACATTTGGTGGGTGCGTGCGTAGTTAAGCCTGCGCTTTTTGTTTGGCAGGCCTGCGAGAGTGCGTGTGTTCGTGTTGTGTCTGTGTGTCTGTGTCGGTGTCTGCGTCTGCATGGGGTAGCTCGGCTTGAGCTGGTGTGCGGACCATGGAGCAGGCGCGCGTGCGCAGTTCTGCTCGGGCTGACTTGGGCAGCGGTGCTCGCTGTGGGGCGTTTGCAGCTGGGCTCAGTTGAGCGGGTGTGTGCGCACAATATTGCGCAGGTTCAGTTTGGCGGGCGTGCTTGGCAGGCACGCGCGCAACGTGGCAAGCACGTGCGCCTGTCTCATGCAAGGGAGTCGCGGAGTATGCGCACGCCGCAACATGTGCACGCGGAAAACATCTGTAAGTGAATCGGCTGCCTTGAATGCAGACGCAGAAGCACATCCTCCAAGGCTCTTTGCATTCTTCCACCGGCGCGGCGAGTGCTTGGTCAAAGCCGCGCCAGCTGAGGAACCTCATGGTGGTCACCTCCACGGTGGCACTGACCATTTACCAGACGATGCCCGAGGCGCAGATGCATATGTTGGACCCTGCGCTGGGGTGCATGGCTTTGACGGCCCTGACCTGCGCCTACAACCTGCTGGCCACGCCGCTGCTTGGCCACACTACATTGCAGCGCCGGAGCAGCCGCGAGCACATGAAGCATCAGTGCCAAAACCGGTCGCTTGGGCTCAAGCTCAGGGTATGCATGAGCCTCGGCCAGCTAGGCATCAGTAAGCTAGCCAATTCTGAGCCACAGCCAGGTACTCTCTCACCTTCGAGGTTGCCAAGGGCTCCTTCCTGATCAACTCCACAGTTACCCAAGCTGGGCTGCTCTCGGTGGCCGGAGCTGTGCTGATCGACACGGACTTCCCCACAACCCAGCCCATGGCGGCGGGCAATCGCTTGACTTTTGCAGCCACGGCGGCAGGGGTGGTCCTTGGCCTGCAAGCTGTTGACAGCAACGCGCTATTGCAATCCATTGCAAGACGGAAGGGAGAGCCGCACCCTTGCCAACCTTACCTGTCCAAAGCCGACCAACTTGACCTTTTGGTTTCACAATCTTGGTCCATTTTTAGTCAAGGGTCTGAACGATGAACCTTGTATTTCTGGGTCCTTTGGGCAAGCGAGCAACGCTCGAGTTCCCCACCTCCCCAAGGCCCGGATTCGCAACGGCAGCCCCGGGCTAGTGCTTGAAGGAGACCCATTGGCAGTGCTTGGGGCGCAGCGCCACAAGAGGCGACTCTTCGAGGTGGGCATCTCTCCTGGATCATCTCTGGTGGGCTGCTGCTTGGTGAGAACAGGGCCATGAGTTCCCATGAGCTCGTGGAAACATAGCATCATTGCGGCAACTTATGTTGGATGCGCCCTGCACCGATTGCCCAGGCAAGCCCCCCATTTGCTTGAACCAGGCCAGTGTGTTTTAAGGGCATCGCGTTGCCTTTCGCGTCGCTTTTCGCTCTTTGCCCTTTTGCCGGTGTCAGGGCAGCTTGCTGGCTGCTCGCCGCCCGCAAGCCCAGAGCTTGGTGAGCCCGATGCCCACGCGGCGCCCCTACAGAGGCCCAGACCTCAAGAGGGCCTGTCACTTGTTTTGAGCGGGAGGGCATGAAGGTTTTTGGGTTCCTTGGCAAGTGGCGCCGGAGGCTCGCCCGATACAGAGTCCGTGGTGGTCGACACCGCTGAACTGGGAGAGTTCAGCGGCGCGCTCGCAGCAGCTCTGCCAAATGCAGAGTGCTTGTGCCAAAGCTCTAGGGGTCCGCAAAGCTGCATTTCCTGGATGCCTTAGGCTGGCGACATTCTGCTCGTCGAGGCTTTCCTGGAGTTTGCGGACCTGCCAGAGGCTAGCGCCCTCACCTGTGCGCGCCCCCACAGCCCCACGCGCACAGAGCGAGCCCTGCGAGGTGGAGAACGACTTCAGCTTCGTGGCCCTGGTGCCGGAGTCAGCGCCGCCGCGGCACGGCAGACCGGTGGACCAGCACCGTGGGTGGCTGGCTCTGCTGTTGCTGTTCCTGGTCATTCTTTTCTCTGTTGCGCCGCTCGGAGATCAAGCTAATGAATATGGGGCTTGACACAAGTGCGAGCCTCTCCACCCTTTTGGCAAATGATGCGAGAGTCCTGAAATTAGTTTGAATACCTCCCAACATGCTTTGCTGCTTTGCCGGTCGGCCGGCAGAGGGTGTGAAGCTGTGAGGAACGTGTGTGACCTCGTCTTTCTGGGCTTGGCCGCGGTGGGCTGCTGCATCATGCTTAACATTGTGCACCGGGAATCTGCCGCCTGGATGGCAAAAGCGGGCAAAGTTAGAGCACAGTGCGCGTATGGATGGGGCTTGGGAGCTCGAGGTGCTGCAGCGATTGGACTTATCGATCTTCCTCACCATCGCGGGAGGTCTCGGCGTGGGCCAGGCTTGGATCAAGTGCTTGGATCGTGTGCTTGGGGTGCCTGGCTTCCTCGGTGTGTCCTCGGTTCAGTCGGTTTGCCTGAGGCCATCAAAGCCAGCGGCCTGGCCAACGCTTGGGCCCAGCTGGTGGTGGCTGCTGGCAAGCGCGTGGCATTTGGGCATCCCATAGGGATTCTCTTGGCGCTATCTTTCATCAGCTCAGTGCTGGCGAACCTCATGTCCCATACTGCCACCGCAGCCCTGATGGCACCCATCGCCATGAAAGTGTGCATGGCAGAGTCCATGCAACTTGACAAGAATACGGCGCGCAAAAACCCTTGCCATGTGTGTGAGAGGGTGATCGCTAAGGAACGTCAAAGCAGCAGCAATGGTGCTGACATTCTCTGCCAATGCTTCGTTCACAACACCGTTTGCTAGCGCAGCAAACATTATGATCAAGGGCACACGCCTGAGCTGGAAACAGTTGCACTACCATTCGGCATGCTGAGGGAAGTTGTCGAATTTGTCGGTGCTTCAAAGGAGATGTGCTATGCAGCCTCTTTCCATGCGGCAGATGCAAAGTTTGATTGGCTCTCTTATCCTGCTGGAACTTGAGGCATGGGACCTTACGAGGCCGCCGACTTCGTAAGGTATGGCATCCCATTGCAGGTGCTGTGCTTGCAACTTGTCTCAAGGGCAAGGCTCGGCCGGAAGGGGCTGCACTTAGTTTCGACGACTTGTTGCTTGTATTGTTACATTGTTTGATTGCAGTGCGAGATGGGCAAGCAAGGGATTTATCATGGGCAACTCTTTGTCGCTGTCAAACTTCGCGCCCATGCAAGAAGATTCATGCCTCATGTGCTGCCTGTCGCTTTTGCCGTGCGGACCCATAAGGTTTGCAATCCCATCGCTTTGTGCTTGGCAGTTTGGAGTGAGTGCGCCCCCAGAGATTTGAGACCAAACCGGTGACAGGTCTGGGGGTCACAGATGATCTTGTTTAGGATTTCGATAAGTTAAAGTTAGGTCTTGGAATTTTTAGACTGGGTCAGCACGCCTGCTTTGGCAGTTCGTTCCATGAATCGTTCCCAGAGCAAGCTGACGCATGGGACTTTGGTTTGATTCTTGAATGGGGACAAGCTCTTTGAGCAGGATTGTCACGTATCTGAGCATGTGACACGGGCATTAGGGCCTCTGTTTCGACATATTTTTTTAAAGCTGTGTTCCCACGTGAAAAGCGGCCCTGCTGGTGCCAATCAGCGCGAACAAGGCAGTGTACACTTTCGGAGCTTGGGCGCTGGCCAGAGGCCATGCCCGTGAGGAAAAAGGCAGAGCGAGGCAAGCAAGACACCCACATACCCGCATGCGAAGCTGCTAAGCCTTGCCTCTTGCAGCTTCATGGCAGACCAGGCAGCCCTTCATTCTGGTGCCCGAATGCAACAGCTGCCCATCTCATTTCCGTCAGTTCAATGCAAGTTCGGTGCCGCCCCCCCTCCATGCCCCTCCAGCACTTGCCAAAGAATGACGCTTTGTTGGGTGAAGGCAGCCCACCACACGCTAGCAAAGACAGAGCCCCCCGGATGCGCACGTGTACACATGTAGACGCCTGTCACACACACCCACACGTACACACACACACATATGTGTCTATATATATGTGTATAATATATGCACATACACAGAAGTTATGTATAACATACGTTATATATATCTATATGTATACACGCACACTCACATATATATATATATATACATGTTTGCAGATGCATGCATACACAGATAGATATACACAATTACGACCAGCCTGGTTGCCGCCATGGCCAAGACAAAGAAGCGAACCGCGACCTCGCACCGGTCCACCGACTCCACAGGATTGCCTCCGGGCTGGATCCGAGTGCTAGCCCTAAGTGTCCTATGATATCCTCATGCAGAATCTGTTCCTACTCTGTAGGGGTGGTACGTCATGTTGCCGCTTTGCCCAGGTGGAGTCACGCTCAAAGCCAGGCGCTTTTTTCTACGCACATCCGGCAACCAAGCGAACTCAAACCGAACATCCTGGACAGAGGCGGGGCCGCCCAGGCGATCGCATGAGATGCGTGTCGCCGCTGAGGCAAGTTCGCTCGAAGAGACCGGAGGGGCCAAGACGACAGAAGGCGGAAGACGAAGCCAAAGGCACCGTGCCGAGATGAGCAGCTTGGGTTGTGCAGTGTGCGCGCGCAGGTAGCCCGCTTGAAGTCGAGGACACGGAGGCCTGGCATCATCCGGTCAGCTCATGCAATTCAAGCCCTTCGGATGCTTCCCTTCAAAGTCATCATCATAAACAAGGGAATATGCATGCTGGGTGGGGTTCATACGCCAGCTTTTTGAGAGTGCATTTGTTTATTGAAGTTTTTTTTTACCTCCCCTGTTTTCAGGACCCTGCAGAGAAGGCGGAGCGTCTGCGGCAGGAAGCGGAGGCACTGTAGAATTTTCATAGCGCACAGCATGGAGAGCTTTTGGACAGCACAAAACGCGCGATAATCTGAAGATAGAATAACGCCTGCTTCAAACAGCTTATTCGCATGACAGGTTTTGATGCTGAGTTGCGATGCTAGCTTCAGTGGTGTCGGACATACCAGTCTTAAGCCGAGCTGCAAGGCCGCCGAGGCGGAAGAGGCTGCCCGGCAAGAGCTAGTGCGGCAGCAACGCGCTGCCAAGCGCGCCCTGCTCAAGGCAAGAGCTGCATGTGGAGTGTGAAGTGTGGGAAAGGGGAAACGGCTTTTCCCATTGTTGCGTTGTGCTTCTGCCCATCTTTGGATATTGGTTCCCAGCCTGTTCTCCCTCTCTCTGTGTTTGTGCTTTATGCCTGCACGAGGCAGACGAGAAAAAGGAGGACGAGCCAGGCTTGTTGAGTGTGTAAGAAATGGCGGTGTCCTGGCATTTAGTGCTCGGGCGTGAAGGCTCTGATGAGGAGAGGGAGCTAGTTTCCAAAGAGGAACTTGAAAAGTGGTGCAGGGCTTACCGGCTAGCCCACTTTTTGCATAAGAGAGAGAGAGAGATTGTGTGTGTGTGTTTGTTTGTTTGTTTGTTTGTTTGTTTGTTTGTTTGTTTGTGTGTTTGTGTGTTTGTGTGTTTGTGTGTTTGTGTGTTTGTGTGTTTGTGTGTTTGTGTGTTTTTGTGTTTTTGTGTTTTTGTGTTTGTGTGTTTGTGTGTTTGTGTGTTTGTGTGTTTTTGTGTTTTTGTGTTTGTGTTTGTGTGCAGCAGTGGTCCCTTTAGCCTGCTCCTGGATGAAATCGCGAGGAAGGAGGACGAGGAACGCAGGGAGAAAGAAGAGGCGGTTTGCAGTTGTTGTAGGTGTAGGAAAGGGCGAGCCTGGCATTTCAACTGGGCACTTGCAAGCCAGTTACCAGTAATTTGTGCAACTGGCCAAGTTGCGCTCACTTTTGAAGTGCTTGCCTCGGTAGCCCGTCAGCAAGCCTTTGGAGGCAGAGGCAGAGCGCAGGCGCAAGGAAGAGGAGGAGCGGGCCAAGGCGCAGGCCAGGGCTGTTTCTTGAGCCTCTGCGAGGAGCGCCGAAGAAAGGAAGCGGAGGAGGCTGAGAGAAGAAGAATTGAAGAGGAGGACTGGCCAACCTGATGCTTGTTAAGCACAGGCTGAAGGCAGCTTGGAGTGCAGGAGCGCGTTCGGAAAGAGCGCGAAGAAGAGATCAGGAGGATAGAAGCCGACGCAGACTTAGCCAAAGATGTTCAACTCACGGAATGGACAGCTTCACTGAGGAGAAGATTGCGCTCTGGAAAGCGCGAACGGCAATGGCCCGGAAGGACCCAGCGCGTGTCATCGCGGGACCGAGCGTTTAGCTTCCGACTGCCCTGCATCACTGCAGGAAGCTGAGTTTGAGCTGGCGGTTTCACGAGAAAGGCAGAAGAAGGTCGCCATCAGTTGGCATGTTGGAAGAAGGCCACATTCCGTTGTTGCAAGGAAGAGGCCGACAAGCGGCTTCTAGAGGCCGCAGCTCATACCAGCTCAAAAATGGGTGTATCCTTGCATGCTTGCACACATCCAGGCTGAAAGGGTGAGGCAAGCCTTGCTGGAGAAAAAGCAGCAAGAAGCTGAAGAGGAGACCAAGAAGGCAGAGGCCGAGCTGCGTCGGAAGGCGGGTTGGAGCTTTTGTAATTCTGTGCTGACACGCGACTGGATGCAAGGCAGAGGCAGAAAGACTAAGACGTGAATTCGAAGCGCAGAACCAGCAAAATGAGAGAATCCCGGAGAGCCGCGTCGGGCTGATCTGATAAAAGTAGCAGAGTAGCGGAGTAGCGGAATGGCATGTGACTTCGCAAGAAGGATGCTTAGTTAGTTTTGCGAGGAGCCATCAGACCCCATTTCGGTGCCCTGCTTTGATGTCTTCAAGAGTGGCAACCGAATAGGACGCTTGGCTTTTGTGGCACAAAATGCGCATACGTGGCTCTTGCTCGGGAAGCTTGAGGTCGGTTCATTCTGTCTCCTTCGCAGAAGTCTTGGACGATTGGGAGATGCCCCCCAGTTGACATTCGTGCTGGCCACATGCTGAGCATTTGTTTGCTTGATTGTTTGGCAAGGTGTTTCAATTTCTCCAATTTCTCCTTTGGCCCGTCCTAGGTCATGAGACAGTTTCGCGAAAGCATGCGCAGGCGACAACTGGCAGCAGCGTCCTGTTTCATTGCTGGCAATGTGACAGGTAAATCGCCAGGGCTGCTTCACGTTCCTTCAAGACCTTGGCTCCGCCCATGGTACAGTCCTCAACGGGCAAAAGTTCCTTGGCTGCAAAGTAGCTTTGCTGCGCCAGAGTTCTTGCGGTTGCTGATTGTCTAGTGGGGTGCGAACACTTATGCACTTATTGAGCCAAAGGATTTCGAAGAACACGTTGGAGCCTTAAACCAGACCCTTGCCAGGCAGGTTGCAACTGTGTGGACGCCTCTATTGCGTCTATTGCATGCCTGGGCTGCTTTTGCCATCGTTTGCCGTGGCCAGACGGCTCAAGCCCCTTGATTCGTTGACTCGGTGCCGGATTCGCGAGGCACAGGCCGAGCCTTCAGCTTGCATGCCTCTCGAGAGCCATCAGGTGCCCATGCCCGGTACAAAGAACGCCTTTGCACTTCTCGGCAGTCAACACCTCAGAATGGGTCCTCAGGGGGCACTCGGTAGCAGCAATCGGTTGGGGAAGGTCCCGGGGAAGGTATGTGTTGAGCTTGAGCCGCCGCAATTCCCTTGCCAAGACTCCGACTCTGAAGATGAGGCACGCAGCGACACGATGGCACGCGCTTTTCCTCAGACCATGTCAGCTCTCGCTTGCGTGAGGAGGCCGTGCCGCAAAAGGAGCCGGAGGTAGAACAGACGTATGAAGCAGCGCCTGCGGTGGAGTTCGAGCCGGACCGCATGTTTTGCGCAACTGCTTGAACCTGAGCATGCAAGTGATGCAAGTAACATGGTGCGAGGAGCCCAAGAAGAAAGGGAAGAAAAAGGGGAAGGCCTGAACGCTTCACTTGCTGCCCTCGTTTTGCTGCGTCCTAAGCGCATATCCCGTAGGCCGAGAGTGCTCCTGCTCCTGCCCCGGCTGTCGAAGCCCCTCCTGCCGCCCCCGTGCCTCGGCAGCTCTTAGCGCACTTCGGCACTTCGGCGCTTCGGCGCTTCGGGCCCCGAGCCGATCCCGTCCAAGGCGAAGCCAGCAAAGGCCGCAGAGCCCAAGAAGGCGAAGGGCCTCAGAGTTGCAGCGATCGCGCGCCGACACGAAACGCAGGAAGAGAAGGCAGAGGAGAAAAAGGAGAAGAAAGTGAAGCCGGCCGTGGCATCGAAGCTTGCACTGATTTGGCCATGCTGATAGGCTATGGGTAGGTGCTTTTTTTCACCACTGCTGAGGAAGAATAAATTCTCCGCGCTGATGGGCAGTGATGAGGAGGATGAGGATTAGGCGAGGCTTCTGCAAGTTCAGTTAGTTTCTGAACCGAAGGGGATAGCAGCGAAGGGGTGGATAGCGCGGGGGATGCAACCGTTGAACCGCTGAAGCCTTGGAAGCCTTGGGCCCTTGGAAGCCGAGGCACCAAGTTGAGCGCCGGACAGCTATGGCGTCTTTGCCAGGCAAAGCCCAGCTCCGGGAGGCGGATTCCGGGGATGAACGCCCGGAGTCCGTGTCCGAAGGTTTGAGACTTTGGGGCAATCCAAGAGAGGGCGACAGGAAATCGCTTGCCTTTGCGGCGAGTAGGGAGGAAAAGAGTTGAAGCTAAAGGCTTTGGAGTTTCTAGGTGTGACACCATCAGACTCGCCAAGAGGTGAAAATCGGTGAAAGAAACATCTGGCGCGGGTTGCAATTTGTGAGCCAGAGGGCGTTGACTGACTGGCTCTGTCGGAATCTTTCAGTCCGGCCCCGGTGCTTCCATCTCCGGCCCGTGAATAGAGGTGCGCACCTCCGCCATGGTCGCCTAGCCTGATTTGAAACTAACGGGTCAGAGAGGAGCGCTATATTCTTAGTGGGATGTGGTGATTCGGGGTGAGCTGTAGCTCATCTCCTCATGTGGTGTGGCTGTAGTACCCTTGAGCAGCAGCTGAAGATGGTGGTTTCTGCCAGAGTAGCGCAACCAAGCTGAAGATGTGGGCCCCAATCTTAGCGTGCTTGGGGTTTGCAAAAGATGTGTGGCGGTACGTCTCAGCTGCAGAGTCGGCCTGCATGATTAAGGAAGCAATTGGAATCGGAGTGCTCCTGGTTGCCCTGCCGCAACCTTACCTTGCATGCACTGCCTGCTCGCTTCCTCTCCACATGCATGAAACTCTGGCACAAAAGGTGCGCTCCCCTGCTTCACCGTCCCGGGATCTTTGGCTTTTTGGCTGGCCACAAGCGCGTGACGCTCGCCGCTTGCCCGCCATGAAGCTGAATGCCCCAAGAGGGAGGTAGCATTCCCACGCCAGAGAACCCAGCCTCGTTTCGCAAGGTTGTGGCGCATCCTGATGATGAAGCCCCTAGGCAGAGTTGGTGGCTGCCCAAAAATTTGACGCCCAGATGTGAGTGCCCAGGCCATGTTCTTCTGGCCAGTGCTTTCTCAACTTCAAGCTTCAGGTGCTCCATCGGGGCTTTGTACAGGAGCTCGTGTTGGCCCCATGTTAGTCTTCCAGCGCACCCCATGTCCATTCGTTTTGGAAACAGCCATGGCATGTGAAGGTGCACATGACGTTGGGTGCATAAGACAAGCACTGCTGCTAGCATGCAGGATAGAATTCAGGTGTGCCTGGTTTCGACCAGGGTGCCATGAAGTTAGTTTTTGCAGCTGAGGTGCCGAAATCAGCGTGCTGTGTTTGTCCACGGGCAACTTTGATGGCTTGGGTGACCTGCGCCGACGAGTGCCTTGACTGGGTGCAAGCAGGTGGCGATGTGCTATGTTTGTGATTCGGACAAGATGAGGAAATGGAGCGCTCCTGTATGCAGATAGGATACTAGGTTGCAACAGTGCTAATCTCATGAGGTTGCATGAGCCGGTGCCAGCAAGAATCGACACCTGCCCATATTATGATTTGTGGTGAGGGTGGCTTTTTGCGCACGGCTTTAAGATAGGGCATAGGCTAGCTTTTCTGGCAAGGCGCCAAAGCTCTATTGTTTTGCAGCATGTCCCGAAGGTGTCGTTGGCGAGGCTCTGCAGATCTTGGACGTTGCCGAGCTGCAGGTGCCTAGCAGCCGCGTTTGGAACATGTTGACAGGGCGGGGACTCACTTTCAACACATTGATTGCTGCACTCACCACATGATGTTTGCCACGTATGCCGTCATCGGCATGGTCGTTGTTCTGCCCATCCTGCTGGTCAGTGTCATCATCCTTTGCATCATCGTCAACGTCCTCCTCGTCTCATTGCCATTTCACCCAACGCAGCGTAGCTCCCTTGCAACGCTCCCTGCCAAGCGCAAACGCATCCCCGAACCTCACTGCAGATTTGACATGTATACATGCTGGACACCCGAACATGACTCGCAGTGAAACAGATACAATCAAGCTGACTTGGCTGCAGAGGAGTCAACAGAGTCAATATAGAGGTCGCTAGTAGGCTGCGTCATGGCAGCCATGGGGCAGGGGCATCCCACACACAGTAGAAACGGGTGGCGCTAACGAGGTCTTCACCAGATGGACCTGCTCGGCCCCGCAAAGGCCTTTTCCTTTCTAGGCTGCCTATCGCTCCTTTTGGCTATCAGAGCGGTATGCATCATGCGGGGAAGGGAGTGGCAGAGCTCCGGCTGTGCCTTGGACCTCTCCCAGGACGTCTCAATCTTCTTGACTGCCTGGAAGTTTGGGCGCGCTAGCTGCACCATCCCGTGCTGCAGCCCATCGGCCATCTCCTGCCGCGCTGCCAGCTTGGCGGGTTCGTCAGCCATTTGGTGCTCGCTGCTGACACACTCCACTCAGTGTGGAGCATGCGAGGGCATCCCTCACGCACAGGATCTCAAGTGCGGGCCCTTTGTCGACAAAGGCTCTGGGCGATGTTCTCGCAGCAAGCCGTGTGGCAGAGGGCCTCAGCGTCTCGGACGATGGCACTCTTGCCCTCGCCATGAAACTTGAAGCCGTCCTTTTCGTTGATGCTCTCGGCGTTGTCGGGGCTAGAGCGCCATTTCCCAAACTCGAAGCTCTACTTGATTGCAGGAAGGTGTTGTGGCCGCGGCCAATGCGTAGCAAGGTAAGTGCATTGTCTGAGGGATTCGTAGCGAACCTTAGCGCATCTGTGCGTCCCCGAGCTGCACGGCAATGTTCAAGGGCTCTCTCCACGGACAGCTCGCGCATTTCCTTCGCATCGGGTTGGCCCTTGCACTTCCACCTTTTCCACCGCCCTTTGGTGGCTTTCCCGGCCTTGGGGTGGAATGCAAACGCGACCACCGAGAAGAATCAGCGGGCGGTCCCCATCATGTTGATGCTTTTTTGTTTTGTTTTTCCTCCCCCCCCTCCCAGCTTTCTAACATGTTAGCACGCTCTTCCACATCGAAGACAGACACCGTCAAGGAGGTCGCAATTGGAGCCATCATTCTCATCATGTTGCCAGCAAACCGCTGAGTAGTCAGTCCATCTCAGGCCGGGGTGTGGGCGTCATCACGAGCTGTTCTGCCCCCCCCCCCTCCGGCCAGCTCCTCTTTAAACCATTCTGTGACCTGCTCGGGCCGCTCCGGCGATCCTTTCGCCTGAATCCGCTCGGCCGCACAGGCCATGTTTTTTGGCACGCGCCTGGCCACGCGGCTCCTGGACTCCAAGGCAGCCCGCCAGGTGCAGAGCTGCACACGGACCAGTCGCTGCAGTTGTCCGCTTTCCAATTCTCCAGCGGCGTGTAAGCTTTGCCCGTGCTGTCGTTGTAACATCTTGTGCCCACTTGTTGAACCAACTTGTTGGCTCGACGGCCATCGTTTGCTCCGTGCTGTCCAACTGTGCAAAATAGGATGTTTCAGGGCGCCCGAGCCAGTACTCCACCATGCAACGTGTTAATACGCATTTTCAAGGACACCGGCGACCATGCACAAAGGTCACCAGTTCACGCCCGCTTTCAAGGGCACAGGCAAACAGGCAAACCAGTGAATCAACCATGCACACAATGTTAGTATTGAAAGTGGGACCACGGATCCAGCGCCTCGGCAGGCTGCGACAGTTCCTTGCCAAACGCTCTGCAATCTGCACATGGCGCCCCAGCCTGCCTCCTACCTCCATCAACGCAATCTTAACAGCCTGGGGGCAAACGACTGTCCGCCCAGCGTTTTGCTGCAGCTTGCACAGCTGTTGCAAGTGCGCAATCCATGATGCTAAGACTGAATGGTATGGAGTGTATGGAGCAGCAGCTTGTTTGTTCCATACCATGCGTATTGGTTTCACAGGGTGCTCGGGGTTTTTCACGGTGCTCGGGGCCAGGATGGGTGCAGATGGCCAGCGGAAGTCGTGGCTGCCAAGGCAAGGAGCCCAAAGAACATTTGCCGACTCCATTTTGCCCGGACCATTAGCTGCGCTGATGGAACGCGTGTAAGTGGGCAGGCTTTGAGCTTCTTGCGAAAGCAGCGTGCAACTGCAGTGCTGACCTTTGACAACAAGGGGGTCTCAGGCAGGCAATGCGGGGTCATGCAGTGCAGGGGTCAGGGCGTTTGCCATGCCAGGCCACCCCAATCACATCTCGACCAGTGAAGGCAGAGACGGACTGTGGGTGAATGCCATGGCCTGTGGCTTCAGGCATGCTGCGTGCCCGCGAGCTTGCTGAGCATGACCTCCAGTTCGATCTTTTCTTGCTCAAGAGTGCCACTGGGTTGCAGCGGCGTCTTTGGGCATCTTGCCAGCTGCCCTTTGCAGGTAGCACTATACCAGAAGTACATCGGCCCTCTGAGCTTGCTCATGCCCGGCCCTTCGAAATTCAAAATGAGTTGTTTCCAGCACCTGATGCCTCAGGTTGGGTGCCAGTGATGCGGAAGCATGGCGGCAGCGCTACAGACTGTGTCTTTTTCCATGCTTGCAGCCGGTTTCCCCCTTGAGGGGGCGGAACATGTCAGACTTCAACCTAGGCTGCCACGACAAATAGTCCGACCGCGTGCCTAACGGCCTTGGACTTGGCGCATGTTGCGATGATTCACACAAATCCTGAGACTCAGGCGTTGTCAGCTCATTGGTCGCAGCTCGTGTGGTATCGAGCTCTCTTCGCACTAGCCTCGCACTACGCGTGCCTTAGCGCTTTTCAACGCATTTTCCTTGGCTGACGCAGGTGTGATTTGCTACTTTTAATGCTCTCTGGCGCTCATTGCACAGGTACGTCAACACATTTGTGCGACACGTGCCAGAATCTTGTCAAGCTTGGAGCGCGCGGAGGGCCAGCAATTGGTTGAGATGCTGCTCACCCGACTCTCACCTCTCAGGAGCGCGGAGACGCAGCACGCAAGAAGGACCAGCTCCACTGAGGACGGCATGCTCGGCCCTGCTCGAGCACTGCACCTGCGTGTGGAAAACAAGCGCCAGCCTTCCGGGCCATTGCAGGTGTGGCCTACCTTGCCATACCATGAGGGAAAGAGCTGGGCCTTTGTGTCAAGTTCCCATCTCAAGGTTGGAGCGCCTGTGCAGTGGCGACAACTTGCGATTCGGCGGGTCCACGCGAACATATGCCCCGTCTCCCTGCTTGTATGATGGGCTGATTCCAGCTGTAAGCCAGTTTATGCCGTTGCCAGGTCTACCGAGAACCTGACACGGCCAGTCCCTTTCCAGGGGTTGTGCAAGCTAACTTGCTTTCTGCGGGCCTGATGTGGTTTTGAGGCACTCCCGATCAACAGCAGGAGTTGGTGGCCTAGTTTGATGACAAATGTATGGTTTGCCTGCTTGCTTCGTTGCTTGCTTCCTCGCTTGCTGGCTTCCTGGCTTCCCAGCTTCCCTGCTCAGTTTCACTTTTTCCAAGTTTCCCTGTTTTCCCCCTTTTTCCCCTTTTCCATTTTTTCTCCCTTGTCGCTTGCTGCTGTTTGCTAGCTAGATAGCTTGCCTGGCTTGCCATTTCTCGCCATTTCTCGCTTGCTTCCTTGCTTCCTTGCCTCCTTGCCTCCTTGCCTCTTTGCTTCCTTGCTTGCTTGCGCGCTTGCGCTGCTTCTTGCTTCCTTCCTTTCTGCTTCTCTTTCGTGTTTGATCTCTGGAGCTTGTCTATCAGCGCGCCAAAGTCAATCTCTGAGTGTTTGCCATCTCAACCTCATTTGCTTGCCAAAGCGGCAGTCAAGTCTCAATCTGACTTTGCCATCAGTTTTGTTGTGATTGGCGGGTCCTATGCAACAAGGCATGCATCTGAAGCCGGCTGGGGACCAGAAGGCTCCTTTGCCTGGCGCGGTCTGGGTGGCGTGGTGTGATGGCAGGAGGTGGTCGAGCCTCCGCTGGAGTCGCCCAGAGTGGTGCCAGGCCATTGCAAATCCCAGTGAGAGGAGAGCTGGACAGGGCCCGAGAGCTGCAAGTGGGTGCAAGCGGCCAGCGAGGGGCCGCAACCATTGACGCGTACTTGCATTGGCTCGTGGCAAGTTGCGTGTGCAAACTGCCAGGGCAAAGGCCGCCTGAGCAGACTGCAAGTCTGGCTGCGCCTGTCTCGCTGGCCTCGCCAGTTCCGAAAGCAGCAGCTCTGCCTGGGGCTTGGTATTTGTGGGCATATAGTAGGGCCCAGTTTTTCTCAAGGTGTCCCTGTTTTTGGAGGCGGTGAGCCTTTGTTGGAGTGGCATCCGGCAAAATCGCAAGGGCTGCGGCGCTGGGAAACAGTCAGGTCACCTGCCTCGCCACCTCTGCGGCTGGAGTCTGAAGCTTGGACTGGGCGGAGTCACATGCTTGGCTGGAAGTTGCAAAGCGCGCCAGCGCTTTGTGCATGAGGTCTCCAAAAGTTGAGGGAGAGATTTCAGAAGGCAGTGCCATCAGGCAGGTGCTGCCGCTGGTGACCAAAGCGATTCCTTTGATTTCAGGATTGCTTCGCCTGAACCGCTCGCTCCGCCAAAAGCCGATTCACCAGAAGAGGCAGCTGAGGCTTCACAAGCGCAACAGAAGCTTGGATGGCAGGTATTCTGATGTATTTACTTTGCTTGGTGCGAGGGATCATGGCTTGGCAGTTCCACCCAGTGCATGTGCCTGAAGCTTTGGTGCAGTGTCAGCTTTGAAGTTCTGCAGACGATGCGCCTCAGGCAGCTGAAGATAGATGCGGCACAAAAGGCTTCCAAGCCGTCGTCGTCGTCATCCTCATCGTCAAGCTCAGGAAAGAAGCGGAAGAGGACAACGCCTGCGCTCGGCTGAGCGTCAGCAGCAGCAGCTTCCAGTCAGCGAGGAAGAAGTCCAAGTCTAGCTCTGCCAGCCGGAAGAAGAAGAAGAAGAAGAAATCATCATCCTCTTCTTCATCTTCTTCATCGAGCAGAGAGAAGAGCCTAGAACCAGCAATCGTGACATCTTGCCTTTTCACATTTTGCCACCTTCGTGTTCCTAGCAATGCAGCATGTTGATGGATCGATCACCTAGTCACACTGCATGTCGTACTCATGATCGGCGTTTTGATTCCGGGTGTTGTGGCAGCCCTTCCGCTCACTCATTCCCTCATAAGATGTATCTTAGCATCCCCCGCATGCCACATCCAACCAGGAAGAAGAAGGAGAGCGACTTGGCGGCAGAGTATCGATGAGGGGGCGAAGCGGGGGATCACTCCCACACCCTCTCCCCAGCACACCTCTTGCCTCATCAGGTAAGAAGAGGAAGCGGAAATCATCGTCAACTTCCGCGTCCACAGAAAAGAAGAAAAAGAAGAGGACCGTTTGCTGCGATTTTATGGCGGGCTTTGCAGGGGAGGGGTACCGGCAGGAAGTCGAGCTCCTCATGAAGCCATTCTGCCGGCTTTAGCGCCGACTCTAGACTCTAGAAGCCTACCTTGGCTTTGCAGCCCACTCTAGGTGGATGCTGGTAGGGCCGGATGGTCAGTGACCCCCGGACAGCCAATGGAGAAACTACTGCCAGAAAAAGGCAGGCGAATCCATGTTTCAGTGCTCACAGCACTTGCAGAAGGGGTTGTGAGCAGCACGCATATATGGGTGGCCTGGCGCACAGCGAGTATGGGGTTCATGATTTGTGCGAATCCAGACGGGCCATTCAGCACAAGCTCCGGAAGACCCGGATGCCCTTTGCTTTTGGCTCTCGGGTGCGAGGCCCTTTTCGAGCCTGTGGCAGACCTTTTTCACACGCTAGCTGCCAGGCGCTCTGCCATGATGCAGTTTGATCAGTTTCCCGGTTTGGGAGCCTTGGCAAATGTTCAGAGCAATGGCGAAGCCATCCAAGCATGTCAACCAAGGAAGTGAAGAATACCCCGGCTTTCCGACGGCCGAATGTCCAGAAGTGCTGCCAGACTTGTCGAGGACAACCTGTTAGCACAGTGATGCTCCGGAATGAGCCGCCACGTCATCTGCACCAGAACACCTGCAGGCACTGCAGCCTCTGCGCTGATGTTCTGAAGGCAGGAAGTGGAGCCTGACTATGGAAGTGCGGTCGTCCACAGCCTGTTTCAAGTTGTTCTTCCGGCCTTTGGTCCTGGCCTTTCTTTTCTATGGCGGACGGTTGGTCGTACGTTGTCTCGTGCCAGAACCACGAGACAAATCCAACGATGACATGACAACATAATTGCTTTCGCATTGAAGAAACTTGGGCAATTGGCATACATCCTCTCGAAAGTGACACCCAGGTTACAGAACCTACAGCCCTTGAGAATGCTCGGTCGGGCTTTCAGCTCGTTTACGTGGAATATGCAAGCATCCCTGCAGGGCTTTCACAGCAGCCAGCGTATTCCTGTGTGCGTGTGTTCACACGCATGTCTTCACACACCCGCTGCTCAACATTGGCGATTCTGCCAAACCTGTGCGACCTGTCGCCCTCCGCTTCTGAAAGAGCCGCTGGCAATGAAGACTTGTGGAAGCTGAGTGCCACGAACACTGCCGGGATTAGGGCCCCAAGCAGGCGAACCAGAAAAGAGTTGCCTCAGGAAGTGTGTGAGTGTGTGTGTGTGATGGCTGGGATTTCCAGAGCCTTGTGTAAATTGACAGGCTGGGGGCATTGGCAAGGTGAGGGGGGTGGCCAAAATGGGCTGTTCCGAGTTTGATGCCCACGCAGAGATGCAGGGCCCTTGTGCCTAGTCGTTGTGGGTGGGGATTTACTCCAGGGCGAACGCGAGTCGTCATGCTGCAACCTTTGGAAACACAAGCGTTGATTACAAAAAGGAACACGTGAGAGGAGCCTACAAGGCGAGAGCACTGCGGCATGGCCAGGCCCATCCCGAAATCTACGACAGGCTCAAGTACCTGAAAACCTCCCAAGGCGCGCAGGGGAAGGCTCTCCGCATGATCTTCTTTGTCACCACCTAGGTGTTGGCTTGGCGAGGTGTATCAAAACAGGCAGGCGATGATTGTGCACGACAGTTGGCTGGTGCGCACCGCTGACTGCAGGCATCGACAATCGCGGGCACCCAGTGCTTAAGGCACTTGGGGCTGTAGCTGGTGACGCAGAGTGCTTCGACACCTTCGCGCCGCTGTGCCGCAGTGGTGCCCAATTCTTCGCCAAGTCGAGGCGAGATAAGCAGATTTGCCTCAGGCCTTTGTTTGACAAGCTGATCGAGGGCAGGCATGGCAAGGCACGGCTCCGAGTGTTGTGCTTGCGCTCCACTGAGCCGCTGGGCGAGGTGCCGGCTTGCCACTCCAAATGTGCTGGGCGGCGAACTCTTACCCTAGAGTCGGCTGAGCCGTTCGATGACTATGCGCCTGGGACCGCTAATGTGAGCCGTGTTGGCACCATAGCGGAGTTGCAGAGCATGAATCATGGCAAGTTGCATTGGTAGAGGGAGTGCCGGCATCTCAGGTGGTTTCGTGCAAAGTTGCAGCATCAAGGCGCGCACATCGGCTGAGGGGCAACATGCCCCCCCCGCCCCCAGGTGGGTTTTAAAGAGGTGGGCATGTTTCATTGCTCAAACTTGAGCAATCGTCTGGTTAGCGGCTTGCCCGATCCCCCCCCATTTTTATTTTGGCATGTAATTCCGTCGGGCAAGCTGACACGGGGGGGTTGGCGTGCACCAGGAACCTCAGTGGAATTCGCTTCCCGCCAGCAGCCACGCTGGAGGATAGACAAAAGGCCCAGCGCTTGTGGACCTTAGCGTCATGACTTCCATGAGAGCAGGTGGAGCAACTCGTCACGCAAGCTACATCAACGATGGAAGGCAGTGGACATGTTGGGGATGGTGGTGCTCAAATGGTGTAACCCTGCGGGCAGGACCTTGGAAGGGCCAGTATTACCCGCTGATGGGCTCTACCTCGTACATGTCCAAGCCCAGCGGCATGTCTGTGGAGGAGGAGAAGGCAAGATCATTTTCTAGATGAATGAACGCAACGAGTCACTTTACTTGCACAACTTGTGTTTGCGGATGCCAACTGCACACAAAATGGCACAGCCTGGCAAACACATGTAGCAGCCAGATGCTGGCGGATGACCACCTCATTTTCTACCATCCAGATGCATCGGCGGTACTCAGTACGGGTGCTGCGCGACACTGGCCACATGGGCGAGGCTGGGCCAAGAGTCTGAGCGCATGTCAATGTTGTCATTCCATGCGCCAGGTGTGTTTGTGAACGAGAGCAAGACTCTCACACTGTGGGTGAACGAGGAGGACATTTGACCCGCCGCCAGATTTGCATTGCCCCGCAATGCGCTGCGGCACTTCTTGGGCCGCACTTTGCGAGGAGCATTTGAAGGCCACATCACAGCGGAGTGGTGGCAGCGCAAGGGGCTCAGGGTGGCGTTCCTTGTGTGGATAGCCGATCTAAGCGTCATCCTCTCTGCAGGGATCGTGAATACAGCTGCTCTAAGGTGCAGGCAGCTTTCCGAGAGTTGATGGCCGTGGGGGTCTTGGCTTGGACGCGTGGCCGTGCACGTGCCCTCGGGTGGGAAGTCACCACTTTGCGGGTTGACCTTCTCGAGGTCCTTGGGCACATCGACACACAGATGCCCAAGGGCCATGGGTTTGCGAAGAGCGACCGCCTGGGCCGCTTGGGCGCAATGCGTTGGAGCCAAGAGGGCGTAGACAACCTGCTCCAGGCTTCTTGACCTCCAATCCCGCCAACCTCGGGACTGCCCTGCGGGTCCCGCTCTGTGTGCTGCTTTGCATGCGCGCTGCTTGCAAGGAGGGAGCTTGTTCTGCAGAGCTTGTGCTGTGGCCGTTGCAGCCATGTGTAAAAGCCCTTCGTGGGCCTGGCTTGGCACCTCTTCGTTTCCGATTTCATGAGAAGAGATCAACATAAGCAGCGCTGTTATTTGGCCGCGTGGCCGTTGTACCCAGCTGTCAGCACGCAGCAGCTTTTGCACAGCAGGTAATTCCTAGACTCGACCTAGCAACATCATACACCACATCACTCTGGTATTTTCTAGCTGGAACTCTTTGGGTGTTCAAGCAAGTTCACCTGGCAGCCGTTTTCGCAATGGCGCCCAAATCTAGCAGGAAGGTTAAGGGAGGTCAGAAGCTGCCATTCACCGATGATGCGATTCAGCCGAATGCTCAGAATGCGGCGTTGGGGTGTCAGCCGCACTGCGTTGCTGCAGCACGTCAACAACAACTGGACACTGTTTGGGATCAACAAAGAACCGAGAATTGTCAAGCTTCAATGCCCAGCAACAAGCGGCAAACCACGCACGAATGACCAAGATACTGCCATCGTTCTAAACTCCCACTTTCCTCACATGTTCATTTGCAGCATCTTCCCCGATGTCATGAATCACGACCCTCAATATGCCGAATGAAACCAAGATATATTTAATTCGCTTCGCTTTGGGACATGTCGGGTGTCTAGTTCATTTGGCCTTAGCAACTGCCATTCGCTCAGCAAAGGAAGCATCTGGAGAAAAAAGCGTCTGAGAGCCAGGACGGGGGTGGTTCCTTCCACAATACGATTGAACCGCAGCATCTGGCAATAGTGGCCTTAGGAGGATGCAGAAGTTGCGGAGGAGGAGTCCAATGAGGAGGCACGCATCACACCGGCTAAGCTGACGCCAACATTTCCTGGGCGACACATTCTGGAGTTCTCGGCAGTTTGCCAATAGCTTCAGCTTACCTGAACGGGCAGGAGTTAACGCCGGAAAGTGTGGTCTCCTCGGAGTGCCTGCAGCAGGAGCCCTTTGATGCCACTTGGCATCGACCCAGGTGAGCGAGTGTCTTTGAGATTTGTGTCTCAGTCCGCATGCACTTGTGAGGCATCAGCTGGAGATCTTAGCAGGAGGAGTGTGTGTGCACTTGGATGTTGTTTGCTTGGCTTGGGTCGGTCCGCGAAAACTTATCACAACAGAATGAGCCATCCCCTGATCATCCCCTTATGCAAAGCTCGGACGCTTGGCACGACAATATTGTGCTGGCATGCCTGGGAAGACAGAAGGCAAGAGCGGCGAGACGCACCACATGGCACGAGCAACGCATCGCAACTGATCACGTAGCCAGGCATAGGCATGCATAACATTTATGACGCTCGCACACGAGCGACACGCTGGAAGCGATCCAGTGTCTCAAGCATCAAGCGCTTTCTGGGCGGAAAAAAAATGACAGCGCCCAAAGAAAAAGTGAGCAGGAAAAACAAGTAGCACTGCACCATTCAAGGAGGACTGGAGAGAGCCACTCCTGACTCCACAATAGACTCCACAATAGGTGGCCGAGGAATACGATGCAGGCAGTCACCACATTATCCCAGACAATGCTAAGCCAGCAGGTGTTGCAAGCCAAGCAGGTTGGCAGGCCTGCAGAGGTTGCCAGCTGGGGCACACCCCAACCAGCTTTGGCAACACCTTCTGGCATCCAATACCCCCTCTGCATGCGCAATGTGTGCAGGATCCAGGGTGCAGCCGCAACACTAGGCGGGGCAACTGGACACTCGGATTGAATGGGGAGGAGAAGAGAAGTGCAATGGGCATTGCTTTCCTGGGGCTTGAGCAAAGTGAGACCTCGGGTCTCCCAGGAATGCTCCTTGCGGGTCCGGTCTCCGGCGCTGTACTGGGCGCAGCTGCGCTCTACGCTTCAACCCGGGAGGCCGGGGAAGGGATGGAAGGGCACAACGGCGTGCTTTGCAATTGCGTTTGGTGCGTGCCCAGGACATGTCCGGAGCTGTGGCAAGGAAAGCTGGCTCGCTGTACCTCAAGGCCCTGCCAGAGTCGGGGGAGGATCATTTTTCTGGCCTCCCTTCCAAGGTTGCTGACCGTGCCTGTGATGAAGGGGTGCGGGTCATGGACAAGGGTGTGGAGCAAGCTGGCGTGGTCTTGGATCAAGGCACGCTACACGGCTCCACGGCTTTGGCTGTTCAGCTTCGAGAGCACAAAACTTGGCTGCCTTGCAGGATGCAGGCGCCTTTCCCAGTCGCCTTCTGTCCCAGCTCCATTGCGCGCTGGCTTCCAACGTTTTACAGACACTCACGCCGAGTCCAGCTGCTCGGCCATGGCTTGGATGGTAAGATAACGATGCAAAATGACATGTGGGCGAGTCTTTGGCTGAGGGCTCCCCCGTTTTTGGACGGTTTCAACGGGGAACCACCTGGCAAACCACATTTTGTTGGGGTCCCCCAAAGAAAACAGTGATGCGCAGCGGCGTTGCACATCATTTGGCTTGATTTGTTTGTTTGCATGTCGGTCAGGAGTTGGGCCAGACGAAGCCAGGCGGATCCGCGAAAAGCATCCAGACTTTTGCCGGCAGACTATTCAGCTTTTTTGGCCTGTTTTGGAGTTTTGGAGGGGTTGAACATGCCGTCCTCAGTGAATGAATGTAGATCTAGGGTCTTGATTGCAGTTCCATTCGCCATTCGCGACATGTCATGCATATCTGGATCTCATGAAAGCCAAGGATCGGATTCCGATAATTTGCCGCTGGCTTATTCGGACTTGTGGGAAGGTTAGCTACTGGGGCACATGCATTCAAACCCAAGGCGAGCGATCTGCCTACTCTCAGCTGCCGCAGCTTGTGAAGAGCCTCGCTTTACACTTGCTGCGCTGTCCGCAATTTTGCGGCGGTGTGTGAGACCTGTATTGGCTCCAGTCCTCCAGCAATGCTGTAGGAGTAAGTTTGCAGTGCCTGGCGAGATGAGCGCGGGCGAGTTCAAGTACCTGGTTGCGAGCCTGTGAGATGCGGCGATTCTTGCAATGAAACAAATGTCCATGAGCTAACAGGCGCAAGCGTGAAGCAGAGAAACGACTGCAGGTTCAAAGGGAGCTGAAGAAGGCAGCTCCAGAGGATCTCCCAGGCATGAGTTGGCCTGCTGTGTTGGGTTCGGTCTTTGGCCTGAAGGACGGTCCCCTGAGCAGACCATCTACATCTTCGTGAACGGGGTTGCTCCGCAGCCTGGTTGCACTCCTTTCTGTCGGGACACGTGATGGGGCAACGCACGTGGGGCAAAAACGGATTCATCCAAATGGATAGTTGCCCCAGAGTTGTTTCTGGTTGCTGAGGAGATGTAGCGCAAGAATGGCTGAGTTGCCGCCGAGCGGCATGGAGTGATGTCAGACAAGCGCTAGGCGGCCATGCCGCGGCGGGCTTGGGACTTGTGCCTAGGTACGAGCAACACTGTCGAGAAGATGGGTTCCTGTGGGTCAAATTTAGTGCAGAGCAGACTCTGGGCCGGAAGATGTGTCCGCCACTGTGCAATTGCACATTGGCAAATGCCGCTTTTGTTGATAGATCTTCCAAGTAGGGGCGTGCAGCTTGCTGCGGTGCTTGAGGAGCAAAGGATTCATTTGTGCATTCCTTTTAATTCAAGGGAAGGCTGCTGAGACGGCCCTCCATCTTGCTGACCTCGCATCGCTTCGCCGCACCACGAAACTGAGTGCCCAAAGCAGTTTGGAAGGCATGCCCCTGCAGATTCCCCCTCAGTCCTTTCGTGTTGTGCTGCGCATGTCCTGCCCCTTTTTCAATAACTGGACCCTCATGCGAGGCAACCTTGCATGAATGCATACGTCTGGACAGGAAGCAGCAATCAAGCTGCGCTTTCAGCAAAACCCGGCAAAAATAAGCTCTTGACGCAGCAGCTCATGCACGAGAGTTGGGAATTGTTGTGGCGAGATTATTGCCAGGCCAGTGCCATTGTGAAACTTCCATTGCTGAAGCAGCACAAGGAGAGATGGGCGCCTCATGATAGACAGGCCAAGTTGAAGCACTAGCTGTGACAGAGGACGAGCTGCAGAAGTGGTGTGCATCACGACGGCTGATCCAGAAGGGTGCCATCAGCGAGCAGCACGGCAAGCAACCAGTTTCATGATCAAGCTTGAAAAGAGGGGCCATGTGCAGCTTGACATCGGACACAGATCAATATTCGCCTCCTGACCTGCCTTGCACGTCTGACTCCAAGCAATGCGAACTCAGGTCGGGTGATAGGATGGCCGACTTCGTGGAGGCCGGCAACTAGGGAGGACGTGATGCCACGAATGCGCCCAGGTCTCCAGCCGAGACAAGCTGAACATCACGGAGGAGGACTGCAGAAATCTCTCCATGGTTGCCTGGCACCCCCAACCGTGGTGTCCCTCACAGGAGTTCGTTTGAGACTTTCAGGATCGTGTTGTTTGCGTGCAAGTGGGGATGAAACAGTGGCGGCTTCCAGCCCGCAAGGGCTTCCGTGTGTACTGTCCCGTTGAACTTGCCACTTCTAGGAGACGCTGAACTTGCTTGTGGAGGGCATCGCTCAGCTGGTGCGCGCCGAGCGGCTCATGGAGATGGGCATGTCGGTGGATGAGGCCCTGCCCAGACTGATTTTGGGACGAGTCCGGCAACTCACCCCAGGCTTTGGCGCGCCAGATCCGCCGAGACCCGACCCCAGTGGACCCGGAGGACAGCTGGGATGCGGCAGGCGGGGACACGACAGCGGCAACTCTGGAAACCTTCCGCCTGCAAGGCCATGCGCTGCACGCGATGATTTCCACGGCAGCAGCTTGGCCGAACTTGTCGCTAGGGCCGCCTGTTTGGCCACGCTTGGTGGGCTAGATATGACATTATGAACCTATGTGTCAACTGGACAGCGCCTGACGCATGACGCAGGTTGTCGCATCCTGCAGTTCTATGGAGGTTCGGCCCTGAGAGCTCAAGGGCTTTGAGATGTTTCAGCCACTGAGGCCACGGCAAGCCCAGCGGTAGACAGGCGCCTGGCCCGAAAGTGGAGAAGCTGCACATTTCGCTGCGCTTGCGGAGGAGTTTGCTGGATGTGATGCAGCGCCTGGCTGGCGCGTTGGTCGCCCCTCAGCTGATCCTGATGCTTAAGGGACATGCGGTGTGTGGCGCGCAGTGTGAGTGCGTGTGTGTGGTGCAGCCGTTTGATGGCTAATTAAGGTCGCGTCCGGTGCCGGCCAATTGGAAGAGGCCAAGTTGCCTGATGCTGGATGGATCGGGGATGTCTCATGGTGAGGACCTGTTTCAGCAGAAGGAGGAAGCTGCTGCCGTCCGCATCCAGGTACCGGTGATTCAAGTCACCTCCGATGGTAGGCATTAGTTGAGACTGGAGCAAGACCATTGTGCCAATCACCATTGCTTCACGGCAAGTTTCGTTTGGCGTCAGTGTCGAGGCGATTGGCAAAATAATGCAACAGCCTTTGAGCTCTGGTCTTGCGCGGGTGGCCATGCGCCCCATAAACTGCCAAGCCCTGAATGCATTCTAAGCCGCGCTTAGTAACAGCAGCAACCTGGGCACTTTGCCACCTCGTCGACGCAGTCGACCTGCAAACATGTCTTGCCCAGAAACCCTCAAAGTGCTCTTTTGGTGCACTTGTCGGAGGGCTTGGTGCGTGGCTTTGGGTGTGTGGCAAGCTGCCACCATCAAGGGGGTCGTCTCACCAACTTGCATACTTGCACGTGATAGAAAATTGGACAATTAGGCTTTTTACGATAAGATTGTGTGTTCTTGCCCAGGCGTGCTGTTTGTTGTTTATCTCGCCTTGGAAACCGATTGAAACCTCTCTGTGCCGTGTGGACCGCCTTGAGACTATTTCGACTTCACAGGATCCAGTGTGTGTCCACAGGCGTTTCCATCATACTGTTCCGAACTTGCAAACATCGCCCCGTCAGGCCAGGGAGCGAGGACGGAAGGACCGCGAAGCAGTTCAGCAAAAAAAGCAGGCTTCCGGGGCAGGGGGGCATCCAGTACGCTGATGCATTGGAGCAAGAGTCCAAGGTTTGTTTGGCTGGCTCAGGACGTGGAGCGAGCAAGGCGCGACAAGTTCTTGCACCATTGTGCCAAGCATAGAGGCATGCTGTTGACTCAGGGTTGCCGCGGAGTTTTTGCGGATCACGGGTCAGCTTTGATGATTCTCGGTCCTTGCTCCGAAAAATCATTCCTTTCTTGGGTTCTGTCGGGCGCATTGACTCTTGGAGTAGCGCCAACGTGATGCAACATATGGGCGAGCCTACCTGATTGCTTGTTGAAGCTCGTGCGGCGGTGACACGTTTTCGCACAGGTCATGGAACACTCAAGCCGATTAAACATAGGTGGGAGTTGCATTTGAAAAGCAGCAGCAACTTGATGGCAGCGATGTGAGTGAGTGAGTGAGTGAGTGAGTGAGTGAGTGAGTGAGTGAGTGAGTGAGTGAGTGAGTGAGTGAGTGAGTGAGTGAGTGAGTGAGGGAGCGAGTGAGAGCGAAAGCTGCAGCGCTAGGTGGGAAGCGCAGAGCCACTGCCTAAGGCGCCATCCCTCCTGGCTTCGCAAGAGGCTCCGTAAACGTCATTGCCTCCTCCACTTGGAGTTCAAGCTGGCTAAGCCACCCGAGACCCAAATAAGTGTGGCCAGGGGAAGCGCTGCTGCTTAGTCAGGCCCGCCACCCGCACCAATCGCGAACCGCGACTGCGCGGTTCCCGCAGGCGCTTCCCACTGTGATCACTCACAATGGTACTAACTGCAAGATGAGCCTATGCAGCAAAATGCCGCACGGCTTGGACAGCCTGCCATCTGGCGCAATGATGCTGGTGATGGTGATGGTGACTGTCATTGATGCGAACGCCTGCAGTGATGCACCAGTCACAAGATTAGCGATTTGTCGACCCCCCCCCCCGCCCAAGGCACCAACAACATGGTTTGTCACACGCAGCTTTCTTACCATGAAGGCCCGCAGAAGGACATGTTCTCATTGCATTTTGCTCGACGTGCTGTGTCTCGGAGCCAAATCCTCCAAGCAAGACGCACGTGGCCGCAAGGGCGGGAGCCCAGTGAAACCTGACCGAAGGAACGCGCGAGGCAGAAACTTAAAAGCATTTTGGGAATGCCAGACAAGGACGCTATACGTGTTGCTGGCAAACAGATTTTGGAGAAAGTTGTGGCCGTACATTTTTCGCATGGCTTTTTGCAGCGCTTGCGGCTTTTCGGAGTTTTCCGTTTCTGTAGCCTCACGAACCCTAAGCCAGCCCTAAACCCCCCGAAGCAACCCTAAACCCACCCCAAGCCAACCCCAAGCAAAGCCCATGTTTCAAGTTCACACTGCGGCGCCGCATTGCGTTAGCTTTCGTCCACCGTGCCACAGCGAGGGCCGATGTGCAGAGCCCACAAGGAGTGCACCAATCCATCTGCGGAATTCGTTTCCGAGGCAGCACAGCACGAAACGGCCCTGGGCAGGAGGCGAACCCTTGATCTAACCCTTTCGCACTGCTACCGAAAGAACACTTGTGTGTGTAATACTGTTTGAGGATAAAACCAAGATAACACCAATTTGTGCGCCTATTTTATAGGCTGTAGTGGTCTTAGAGCTTGATTAGGCCTGCAAGCCCCCGTTCGAATCACGCAAAGCAACTGGAGGGCTCCCGACGTGGAGATGCTCCGCAACAGGCAAGGGCCCTAAAAACTCCCAGGGCCACGGTGGATATGGCATAGGGCGGGAGTGGTTGAGCACTCATTTCCGCTTTGCCCGGCTTGTGGAAGCGCGGCAAGGCTTGCGGATGTTCTGGCCAGAGCCGCAGATGATGGCAGCCTTCAGGAGGCTTTGGCAACCACGCAGCCGCCGCAAGACATGGAGGATGACGAGAAGGCTGGTGCCAGGCAGGCTGTGCCACAGCACCCTTCCAAGCAGCCAGGAGGTTCTCCGATTGCAGCTGGAGTCTACTTTGGAGCGTGGAGGTTTGGCTCAGGCGCGACCCGGATCACTATGGGTGCCTTTTCAGGCAAGCGCGTCGAATATGGGGTATGAAGATATATAACAAGAACGCAGGTTGAAACATCATTTCAATCTGACTACCGTGGCTTGCAGCCACAGGCGCTGCAAGAGATCAAGTCTTCCCAGCCTGACATGGCGGAGGTTCGGCCAGCGGCTGAGCCTTCCAGAAAGCATTCTCCCATGCTAAAAACAACAAAGCCCGGCGTGCTGCGTGTTGGCCCTACGGCCATCGTTTGCCCCACGTTTCAATGGGTGCTCTCGTGGACACAAGTGCACACGTGGACACAAGCGCTCTCCCAGGGAACCCGGAAACAAGCGAACCCGTGTGAGGCCAAATGGTAGCGTGCACGTTCAAGGGAACCCGGAAACAAGTGAACCCGTGTGAGGCCAAATGGTAGCGTGCACGTTCAAGGGAACCCGGAAACAAGGGAACCCGTGTGAGGCCAAATGGTAGCGTGCACGTTCAAGGGAACCTGGAAACAAGTGAACCCGTGTGAGGCCAAATGGTAGCGTGCACGTTCAAGGGAACCCGGAAACAAGTGAACCCGTGCGAGGCCAAATGGTAGCGTGCACGTTCAAGGGAACCCGGAAACAAGTGAACCCGTGTGAGGCCAAATGGTAGCGTGCACGTTCAAGGGAACCCGGAAACAAGTGAACCCCGTGCGACCCCGAAACAAAAGCCCACGCCCCTTCACGGCCTTGCCCCTTTCAGCGACTCAGGGCTCCACGTCCAGCGGCATAAGCCACTCTTGATCTTTGAAGGCATTTCGAGGAGCAATTCTGTCTTGCACATGCTCTCGGTAGCACTTCAAGGCTGTGAGAACCGACAAGAAACCAGGCCGGTCGGCCAAGTACTTCGCCGAAAGTGGGGCGATGTGTTGGTCGCCCCTGTCAGATTGGATTTTTCCGTACTTGCCTAGCCGTCTAAGTCTAAGGGAGCCCTTGACTTGGGATGCGATGCTCTCACAGTTTTGGTCGCCGCCGACCATGGTCACAGTCCGCTGGCTCACCTTCGCAGCTGGCTTGCTGCCTCGGGATGTGGCAGTCATAACTCTCAAGGCGGCCTTGGGGATGTGCTTTCGGTTGAGTTTTACCGTGGGCGTCCACTCGCTGAGCGAATGGCGCGCGCAAGCAGCTTGAAGGCCTAGGTCTGAATAACATCCTCGAAGACCTGTGCTGCTGTCGCTTCCAATCACGTGCATGGAGGCGTTGGCCAGGCGAGCTATGTGTGGCATGCATTCTGACTTTTTCTCCGGTGGGCCCGGAGCCGATTTTGCAGTTCTCCTGCAAAGGCATCAGCGCTGCTTTCTTGCTTTGCCTGTGTACTGCAAGTAAGAGGCGTCCAGAGTGAACCGCAGTGCCTGTCTCTGCCGAGGAGTGCTTCTGCGCAGCAGGTTTCTTCTGTGCCCACCGTCTCACGGCCGCTTTTGCTGCAGCGCTCCACCCTCTTTTGTCGTGATTCTTCTTCAAAGTGCTGCAAGCCGTGCTGTCAAACTCAAGCACCCCCGGGCCGAATTCACCAGCTTCTTGAAGAGCCATCTGTGTGTACGCCAGGGCAAAGCGCAGGCGCTTGTATAGGCTGTCAATCCGCTTCTCCGGCAGCGCAGCTAAATGCAAAGCCATGTCCTGGGGAGCCCGCACGCCAAGAACGTACGCAGCTCTGACCAAATCTTTGCAGCTGACAGAATAGCCAGCAGACAAGTCACTAGCAAGCGGTGTGTACTGGTACTCAGGGTGATGTAAGCCTTGCCATGCTGCAGGCAAGGTCAAACAGTTTTCAAACCTCGCTCCGTGAAAAGAGGACAAAAGCAACCCAAAAAAAATATTCCAGTACTGTTACTTGGCTGAGTCTCGAGGCCGCCCTGCTGAGCAATCGGCAGAGCTGCCGCTGCAGCGCAGGGTGCCGGGCTCCTTTGTGCGCTTCATGCCTGCGCCGCACGCGTAACATTTTCTGTGGGCTTTGCTGCCGAGGACTTTGTGCTTTTTCAGGAGCGCCACGCACTTCGCTTCTGATAAGGCGCAGATCTCTGGGTGTGATATTTGCTTCAGCTCCCGAAGGCCTCTGCGACCTTTCTTTTGAGACGCTTGCCTGCCTGCACTCCTGCTGCCGCCGTAGCTGAGACCGGCCACATGAAACTTCCTGTTGGTGCCAGACTTTGTTGCCAGGCTTCTGCTGGTTGGCTTTAACCTTCCGCTGGCATATCTCTCTCTAGGCGGCCTCACACGGCCCTTCATTGCTACGGGAATGAAAGACTGAGCCAGAAAAGCAAAAGAGACACAAGTCTGGACAAGAAGCAAAGAGCAAGGCATGCCGCTGCTTGTTTCACGCACGACTGCTTAATGCTTTGCGCTGGCCTTGCCATGCTGCACTTGCCAAGAAATGTCGCTGCGCACTAGCCGCAGCCTTTCCTGGACTGCCTTCGGCAGGTCCGTGAGCTCCCCCAAAAAAGGTTGAGATGCCCAGCACTTTCGCTGGCCGGTCTCACTTCTTTCCTTCCACAAAGGACACCGGCATACAACAGATCCCGGCCTTTTCCCGCCCCATTGGACAGTAGGCACCATGCATTTGTTGTGCACTCTGCAAGTGCCCCACTTTCCGTTCTTGGGCTTGCTGACTGCTTGCAATCGCTCACTCAAAGGCTGCAAGGGCACAGCGTCTCGTTGCGCCACCCACGCTGCTCATCTCTATGCAGGCATTCTTCCACGGGGTCGTTCCTGTGCACTATTTCAGGGCTGCTCGAAGGATCCTGTATCGGCGACCAGTCCTCGGTCACATCATGGTTCTCATGCTCGAGTGACTGCTGCTGCGCTCTGCGAAAGCCATGCCAGACTTTGAATCTCTTCCTTCTTGGCGTGTCTGATGTCTTTGCTGGACTAGGATCACCTTCGCATGCCAATTGGTTCTGGAACTTGCGCTTGGATTCAGGCGAGGTAAACATGGCGCAAGGTAAACATGGCACGAGGTAAATATGGCACCGGCCCTTGCCCTGGCTTGAGCATCGCAGGCGGCGGTGGCAAAAACGCTTATACAGCGTGGGGCAAACGATGGCCGTAAGCCCTGCATGTTGCTATCAGAGGTTTGGAGCCAGAATGAGCCACAACATGCAATAAACAGAAATAGCACAGCTTCTAACAAGATGAACGGGCTACTTGCAAGGAAGAAGGGGCACTTGCGCAAGCCCTTGCGAACAGACCAAACAGAAAAGCTTCACGAGTTTGCTCTGACGATCGCCGAAACTGCACGCCCTTACATTGGATTGACGCCAAGCCTAAGTCGTGTTTTTTGGAATTTGGGAAGAGGAAGCAAGCGTGTGCGAAGAGGCAAAACTTGTGCCTCTTTGTGGTTGGTGTGCATGCTGCCTTGCAATTTCCGCCGCATCGTCTTGGAATAGCAGCCGCAAGGAGTGCCAAGCAGAACTGCCTCAAAGAATGTCAAGCTCATATCCTGCATTGTCGTCCTCTAGAAAACCTATTTGAGCACAGATTCTTCTGTAGCGCGTCGCGGCGCTCAGCCTTAGATAGATGCACGCCCGATGATAGCGCGCGCACATACGCACACACAGACGCACTGATTGTTCGACCGGCGCCGTGAAGATTGTTCAGAACCAGCGCGCCAGGAGCTTCCTGGGAATCGGGCCCAAACTAGCTGGCAATTTGCAATCTTTGTCCAATTGCCTGTGGTTCTGGTGCTTTTGGGGGCATTGATAAATTCCTTCGGGTTGACATGGCTGACGTCAAACAAGGGAGGGCCATTTTGTTTAAAGGTTTTTTGGTGTTGTTGTTTTAAGGATTTTTTGTTGTTTTTTCGGGCCAATGTTGGGCGATTAAGTGCACACATACAGACATACATAGATGATCGAAAAAGTGATGATTCAATTAGGTAGCGGGGGGGTTTGGGGGGGTGGGCGGCAGCCCTCATGGTGATCAAAAAAGTGATGAATCAATTAGGGGCAAAGAAATCTAAAAAGCAGTGGGCGGGTTGGGGGGGGGCAGCAGCCCCCCCATGATGATTGAAAAAGTGATGATTCGATTAGGGGCACAAAAGCTAAAAATGAGCGGGGGGGTTGGGGGGGGGGGGGCGGCAGCCCCACCCCACGATGATCCAAAAAACTGATGATTCAATAGCGGCAAAAATATATCAAAAAGCAGCGGGGGGGTTGGGGGGGGCGGCAGCCCCCCCATGATGATTGAAATTATGGGCAAAGAATCTAAAAAGTGGCTGTCGCATGATGATCGAAAAAGTGATGATTCAATTAGGCGTGCGTTTTAATCGAAAAGAGTGGGGGGGCACCAGAGAGGAACTTGCGATGCTGAGGATGCAGGAAAATGCGAAAAGCCAAAGCCAAAAAGCCACCTGCCGAAGTGGAACTGGCAATGCAGAGGATGCAAAAACTAGACCACGGTTGGCCCGAAAGCATCACAGCCCCGTGGCCATTTCTGCGCAAGTTGCTCGGGCAAGGTGCTTTGCGCAAACGGAGCAGGCGCGCGAACCACGAGACAACTCCCGAGGACCAGTTCGAACAACAAAAGTCTGTCGAGGGTCGCGCAAGCACCTTTGAAACGAGTTTTTGCACCTCGACCACGCCGATCCCCGCAGAGGGTTGCGCGACCTGCAGAAATCGAAAAAAACCTCGACCACGCCGATCCCCGCAGACGGTCGCGCGAGCACGAGTTTTTGCACCTCGACCACGATGATCCACGCACAGGGTCGCGCGGGCCTTGCGCCTCGACCACGCCAATCCCCGCAGAGGGTCGGTTTTCGTAGAGTGTCGTCGGCACTACCCCGCCGCCCTAAGAAGAGATTTTAATGCCTCGCAAGTCAATTGCACTTGAGTCATTGCAAGGAGTCATGAGAGTCATCCAAGTGCAAGGTGCAAGTGCCCGGAGTCAAGTAATTTCAAGTTGCAAGTGCAAGGAGTCAAGTGCAAGTCGCAAGTGCATGGAGTCAAGTGCAACTTGCAAGTGCAAGTTGCAAGTGCAAGGATCCTTGCAATGACTTTCATGCTGATAATGATGACTCCTTGAATGACACCTTGCAATGACTTTCATGATGATGATTCCTTGCAATGACTCATTGCAATGACTCTCATGAGAACAACTCAAGTGAACCCAGCGGAAGAACCCTGCGCCGTGGAAGCCGCCCCCG